ATGGCGGACTGAGGGGTTACCGAAGTGGGGGGTTTTTCTGGACAAAACACCTTACATCTCAGTAGCTAATTACCAAAACCCCAAAGTACGTTATATCAATCTGCTTCTTTTGAATCGGTTTATGTAAATATGCAATAAAAATTTAGGCATTCCATTCCTAAAATCAGAAGTTTGATATGTAGGTCAAAATTGGGGCACTCTCTATAATTGCCAATATTTTCGAAATGTGCCCCCAAATGTCATGTATAACAGGCCATAAATAGATTTTTCCAAAATGTATTTGTTTATGAGTAATATTCCGTCCACACATGGATGGGCCACCCTGTATAAGTATAAATATTATTTATATCAGTTGGGTAAAACGATATCCACTAAGTATTTACTGCCTATTGGCGAGGAAAAATCATTGTTGGTTTTGCGAGTCAGTTCTATGGCAAGGGAGTTACGAGTTAACAGCGAAAAACTGATATTTGCAGAATCTTTCAGAACGTTGTTTTTCGGACTACTGATAATGTTAGTGATAATATATTCGACTTTCTTGCTTTTTATTCATTATATAGATAGATAGATAGAAAGGATTTATTTAGCTTTAAGCTACTTCAAACAATAATAAATATTATTTACAAAAATATGTTAAATTTACAAAGAGGTCTTCACATCAAACCAAAATAGTCTCTCGGAAGTCTCGTTTTGAAAATTTTAGCATTACTTAGATGTTTTTACATTAATAGGCAGATTGTTGTACATTTTTAGACCTTTAACAAACATTGACTTTTCTAAACCTTTAAATCTAAATTTTCTTTTGATCTAATGTTGCATTTCACATATTTTTTAGAATCTGTTCAAGATAAGGTGGAGCCTGATTATTGATAATTTTATATAAAAGAATTAAATTTGCCTCTTGAATAACTTGGTGTATGTTTAAAAAATGTAATGCTTTTAGCATGTCCTATATATGGGTATACCTGCTACAATTTAACAAAATCCGCATACACTTATTTAATAGAATTTGCAACCTTTGCGTTTGCTCATTTTTGCATGTAATCAAAAGTGATGCACAATAAGTTAAATGAGGAAAAATTATTGTATTGTAGACTTCCCTTCTGCACCAGGGACTTAGATTCTAACAAATTCTACGAAAATACCCGATCTTTATGCCTAATTTCCGACACATATAATCAACATGATGTTGAAAGTTAGTGGCTGATCTATTATAATACCTAAATACTTAACACTATCTACAAAATCAAGTACCTCTCCCTCAATTTTCACTGGCATATTTAAATCCACCAACTTCTTGCAATTATTCTTCGAACCTATAATCATACATTTCGTTTTGCTTACATTTAATTTAATCTTGTTTGTTTTTAACCATAAACTAAGTTTGCTCATTTCACTATTCTTACATATACAATTTCGTTACTTACTGAACCACTAACTGAAATTAATGTATCATCCGCAAACAAATTTATAAAAAAATTGCTAAGGACATTGGACATACCATTGACATATACAGGGTGTCCCGAAAAAAGTATGCAATATTGTACCAGCGGTAGCTAATCTAGTAATTTTACACTGCTAACAATGTCAGCTTAACGTCAAAATAAGTCATAAAAAATCAAAACAACTTTTGTTTGCAGTCATGGCTAACTATGTATAATCAACAATTCATAAAAATTCGCAGTACATTTCCTATCATGTGACAAATTTTTTAGTTTGATTTTATTCAAAAATGTCACAATTTATCGATATTCAAGAAGAGTACCTTTTTTATGTAGAAAACCCTAAATTTTCAAATTCTAAAATTGAATTTCAAAAATAGAATCACACAAAAATTTTGGGGCTAAAGTAACCTGAGTCCGTCCCTGTTACATACGCTTCCAAACAAAACTGTCTAAAATTGTTGATATTTTTAAATCCAGCATAAAAAACTAGGCTAGAATACCAAATTTCATGTCTTTATCTCAACACCTTTCGGAAATATTAAGGAAAAACCATCTTCAGGGGAGCCCCTTTAAAAGACCGTAGCGCCCTTAGGAGAAGTTTGTCGACCTATGTTTATATAAACTTTTCTTCCTATTTTAAGCTCTAGAATATTGCACACTTTTTTCGGGACACCCTGTAAAATAAACAGCAATGGGCCTAGCGCGAATTTTTAGTACACTTAAAATTACACTCTAACAAAATTGAATCAAAAATTTGTTTAGTTCACCTCAAAATTAATCCGTGTACCAAGTTAAAAGCCCTAGGTGTCTCCTCTAAACACTTCTGTATTTCTTTGCTCTTCTCCATTTTTCTTCTCTTTCCGTTTCTCTTTTTCCTTGACATTGTCTGGTTTCAGGGCAACTAGTCCTGACAGATTCGACTAAAGTACATCAGCCAGTGAATAATGGGTTAAGGTCCTACGGACCGCCCAGACAAACAAATGACGAATAGTATCTTTTTTCCACTTTGTACATACAAATTGGCATGCAGTTTCACAAGAATGATTTCTTCTGAACCCGGAAAAAGAACATCGTTCACACGTAGATGCTCACTCAGCTGTTGATGCACTGTTATTTCTATAACTTTCTCGACGACTGACATAAGATTGATGGGTCGCAAGTCTTCTAGTTTGCGTGGATTGTTTGTTTTGGCTACTGGGACTATAATACTCCTCTTCAACAACGAATGCGTCTTTCCTGTTCTGAGCGATGTATTTACAATATTCTTAAGGGGGCAGCCAATTACATCAAACACTTGCTTCACCAAACTGCATGTAAATGCTTCATCATCCGTAAATTTTTTCTTCAATTGAAAAACAGTTTTGCTTATTCAATGAAATTTCTTGAAACCTCCAAAATCCTCTTCTAAAGGCACTGCTGCCGTTATAGCTTCCTCATTACTTGAAGGTATGGTGCTTACTATATCAGTTACACTCTTGATAAAATAATAAATTGTTCAATTCATTCTCTACAGTGTCACAGCAATTAATTTCTAAAGACATATAATCATTGTGTACATGTTTGTTATTAACGAGATGTTTCAAGGTTCTCCACATTTGTTTCCTGTCTCCTTTGCATCTGTCAATCATTTCTTCATAATACTGCTTTTGTTTTGATCTTATAAGAGCAACAACTTTGTTACGTTTTTTTTTTATAGTTTTCGAAGTCATCCCTCAGGTTGGTAAATTTGAAAATATGATATTGTAAATCTCTTTCCCTTTGTGCTCGTTCGACCTCTCCATCAATCCATGACTTGTAATTAGTACTTTGTTGTTCTAAAGGTGCAATTTCGTTAATATTTTTATTCACATTGTCAATAAAACAATTATATAAGGAATCGACATCTCGAGATCCATACTTCCAGTTACATTCAATGAGCTTCATCTTGATTTTATCGATATTGTCACAAGATAGATTTCGTTTTTTTATAACCGTAATTGTATCTTGAACGGACGTAGGAATATCTATACTTAGTATTTCATGATCAGTGAAATTTGGCACATCTGGTGGCTGCACGAACTATCTGTTTAAATCCAGCCGCTTCTGATGTGCGAAATAATCTTCTACAGTGAGTATCATCATACAGTAAATTTATGTTGAAGTCTCCAACTACCACAGAATTATTTTGGATTACATGCATTTTCACCAAGGCACACCAATATTCCATAATCCTTGCAACTTGCCCCAACACCTGAAATTTACACTCCGTATTTTATATACACAGTAACTCCTCCTGTATGCCAGCTATTGGAATAGGTTACTACGCTTTTACTATGCTCCATTTCTCTTCCATATCTCCAGTTACATGCGTTTCACTAATTACTGCAACTATAGGCGATTTTTCTATTAATATTTGCTTAAGATAAAAGAAATGTTTTGCTATTCCCTGAATATTTATGGTCATAACGGAATTGCTGTTTATTGTTTCTAATAATTGCTACTTTGAATATCTAAAATAATCTTTATTCCTTGTTATCTACCTTAAATATGACGGACAATTGATATCAAATACTTGACGTCATGAATTTTTAAGACTGCATGCAAACAATTTGTACAAGAGTGAATTTCCGTTTTACATTTTTCTTTTCTATGTTTTTGAGCGCATAGTGGATGTCAATTCAGATTTGCAGTTTTCAGCTTTATGTCCATATCTCCAAGATTTATAACACGGCAGAACGCTAATAAAATCAAAGAATCTGTAGCTGTCCCATCCAATATACAGAGAAGTTTTTTATCCATAATATAGCCGTGCTCGTTATTTAATAGCTCGATGAGAACGTTACATAGTTTGTTACGACCTGCAATTGATTTGTATTTTCGCAGCAGCCTAATTTCGGCGCTACCGATTTCTTCAGGTATATTTTGAGGCTGCAGTTTAAAAATAAAATCCTGTTCGTCTTGAAGATCATCTTCCTTAACATTTATTATTTTAATTTTCTTTTTGACTAGATTCCCCACCTTTATCATAATCCTCACTCATTTCTGCTAGTTCCTCATTTTTCAGCTTTTCCAATGATTGTTCATTTTCACATTGAATTACTACGCACCCTTTTGACATGTACTTAATATTAGCTAGTGAAACATCTATTTCTGAAGGATTAAGTTTTTTAGACAAAACATTTTTTGTGATGCTACTGTTTTGGTTCTCATCTTTTGGTTTAATAATTAGTGGTTCAACTTTATATACAGGTAAATTTTTCTCAACAATATCTGACCACTTTTCCTCACTGGATGCTACGTTCTTATTTTCAAGCAATTCAACTAGTTTGGTTGTTTTTTCTAGTAACAGTAGTTTTTTCTTCATTATAACAGGCGTTCTTTTTTAGCTTTGATTTTACCACAGGTAAACAGTCACTGCAGAACCAACAAAGATTTTCACATTCTTGCTTACATTTTGATAAAGTGTCCTTTACCTTAGCACAAAAATTATGATACCTTTTTAGACAGTAGTCACATATTTGGTATTAACGATAAAATTGTCCTCACATTGAGCACACGTACTCGAGGGCATATTACCTACTTGATAGAATCCAATTTGTGCGTGGTAAAAAAAACTTATGGGGTTCGAGACATTAAAATAGGGCTTTTCTCATATTTCACTTGTCCCTAACGGCCTGCCGATTCTTAAGTTTTTCGTGTACCTAAAATTTCGATAGATTTTATGACGGTGCTCCTGAGACAACGTGCTCGATTCAATTTTATGATTATGCGATACTAGTTGATTTTATGTATATTCGATGTGCATCACACTATTTTGTCCATTATGAAGTACAGTTCCAGTAAATATAATTTCACTTACGATAAATGGATCACCCTTAGTGTCAAATTACACTGAACTGGCGATTTTCAATAGACACCCACTCAACTAATATAAATTATTTGCTGTTATTAAACACCCGAAACACCCGAATCAAGGATACATACTATTTTACTGCGAGTATTACACACTCACTTGGTGCTGCCCGTCTAGCAAAATTGTTTGGAAGCGAAATGGAGGACGGAGCGTCGAGTCACGATTTTTGCCTCTAGGTGGACGATGTCAGACTGATACCATCTGCACATCTGTGATAGTTGAGTTGTACCTATAATAATCAGCTGTAATAACATCATTAAAAATAAATCATGTACTTTATACTTTGTATTCCAGCATACTTAATGAGTGAAAATAAGTTCAGAATTTCTCTCCCTTTAGTCCATTAGCCAAGGTTTGGATAAGACGGCTATGTAATAATGGTTGATAGATTCCAGAACGGCGTCAAGTAGGTTAACCACAAACAAATGCCTATTGAAGACCTTCAAGAGTCTTGTGTACAACAATAAGCGCAAGTTTGATGCAGGGCATAAATTGCCAAAAGACAATATTTACAAAAATTATGTCAAGTAGATTGGCTCTGCACTTTCCACGCAACGCTGTCATGAGTTCATAAAGGGTTACGTTGTCTAAGCATGCGACAAACATGCATAGCAAAAGAAATATATGAATTTGATAAAGATAACGCTAGTTTCTACCCTGCCCTAAGTATCGACCATCTGGAAAAGGTGCTGAACCATACTAATTAACCATGGCATAAGCGCCAGCCAAAATACTATAGTTCGAGATCGAGAACGCCGACGATGCAGTCAGACGTAGACAGAGTCTTGCGTATCAAGGTTCTCAACGTCCCAACCGACCGCACGACGCGGCTGTAAAGATTTCTTTAAGTTTGAAGCGCAAATAATAATAATACATGATTTTATTGGTTAACGTCAAAAGGCGGGGTTCTCAGGTTGTGCTTCCTACGCAACCTAAGTTTGAGCATTTTTTGTTTTGTTTTTTGTCCTTCACGCCATTGCCTTTAGACCAATTTTCAAAAACTACAAAGCATCTTCGTCCTTGGCATAGTACTCGTAGTTAACTCGTGTGAACATTTCATCAGAATCCTAGGGGTGCTTTCGAAGTTATAGAAGGGCCAAAGATTAGCGGGCAGATATTTGTACTCGTAACCGACAGGCAGATTAACGGAAATGAGTGACATCATTTTTTGTGATGAATTTGTCATATAACATCTTAAAAACATAATAATTCATTTTCGAAATTTTTCGCGATAACGCCAGTAAAAAAATCCTTATGTCCACATAATCATTTCTAATTTTCTCTATATTATATGATAATTATTAAAAAATGGGTTAACTGCTCCAATAGCTAATTCAAGAAACTATGAATAATATGATTTTTTGAAAAGAATAATGCATCATTTGCTTGCGATTATGGGTTTTCCAATTTCTTGTTTTCTAGAAATAAAAATGTGTTGTGAAAAATCACTGCTAAAAAAAATATTCGACAAAGAAGCGCAGAAGTAAATAGGGAAAATATACCGGATAGACAAAATAAATATGAGATGCACTAAGATCACGAGAGTGACTTACTGCAGCAAATATTAGTTAAATGACAAAGTTAGGTAATTTATATACCTTCTACGTGAAATTTATAAATTTGTCATCTGGAACTCTGATTTCGATAAATCGTGTACGTAACTTTGTGGATTTTAGTTTTATTCCTACGTTACTTTAATATATCTGAAAAACTCAAACAAATTTTATAAATTCCAATGCATGATCATAATGCATAATATAATGCGAACAATAGATGTATGCCCTCAGCACGCACTATAGTACCTATATAATATTCACGGATCGAACAGTCATTACACGCACACAATATGAAATTACACGTGCAAATTTTTCTTTTTATTATCAAATTTATCCTCTTGTCATTTGATTTTCCTTCCGAAATCAATACAACGCGTACACTGACGTATCCAGAAAAAAAATCGGAGGTAGGCGGGCTTGAAGGCGGGTCAAGCCTTTGAGTGAGGGTCACTTAGTCACACTGTATTATACTCTGAGAACCAAATTTGTGAGAAGGATTGAGTTCACTGAGTACGAGAGAGAAGTGTATGTAGACACATATGTATATGAAAGAGATAAAAGCCGGCTGGATAGCGAAGCTCGTCATCACGTTGCCTAGCAGCGCTGACGCGGTAATCTCCCGCGTTACCAATATGTTACACCAGTTCGTTAAATTAAGGGGCTAGTTTATAGTTTTTAACGCCCAAATAATGGTTTTATTTTGAGCGTACAGATTTTTTAATTGTGAATTGTGTCGAATCTGTTTAGGATCGATTCCAGATAGGTCCTAACGGCTATTCATTTTATGTCGAAATGAAAGGATATGATCGTCACAAATTCTGTAACATTGCATCATTGGTTTGCTTGGCAACACCGCATCTCAAATATTCCAAGGCAAGGATTCCACCTCCGTGATTATAGATGAACGATTATGGTCAGTACACATCTAGCGCTCATTGTGTAGTGTCATCCTGCTTCGAAATTGTTTTTACCGCAGACAGTCATACTTTGTATTGCGTAAGGTTATTTTTTACATTTTCCGACGCCCTCGCTGTCGCAAAATGTAACAATACATAGCTCCGGATGTGTTGATTTCATCACCATCAATGGAAATCGAAGATAATTCTAAAATAAATTAAAATACTAAGTCGCATCAAAATTGAAATGAATGATCAAACTGAAAACAAAATAATAAATTAAATGTTCAAACGGACCTCCTTTTTGGATTTGACAGTAACCTAACGTATGGTAAATAGAAGCCCACCGTTGGTAGCAATGTGGTGATGACCTTAGATCTACAGCCGGCTTGTATCTCTTTCTAACATGTGTTGATACACACTTCTCGCGCTTCTCTCTCGTATACACTGAACTGAAGCCGTCAGAAAAATTTCGTTTTTCCTGTATAAGGAAAAGGGGGAGACCTTAGCCACAAGTTATATGCCAATGCGATAGATTGATGACAAATCTGTCTCTGAGTTTATATTCTATTTTTTCTTACAGTCGAAATGTCAGTAAAGCTCTTTATTCAGCATTCAGCATGGACTTATTTATTGATCAGAAAAATATGACTGGTTTGACAGTCGGATAGAATCTTTTAGAAATTGCTATATATAAACACTCGTATGGCAAGCATGATTGAATTGAAATACAACAAAAAACAAAAACGAAAAAATATAAATCCGGTCTCGAAGAAATCTACGTTTATTGAACTAGCTGAATAGCACAAACTCCAGAACATATAATTTCACTTGGAAAGAGTCAAGTGATAATTCCAATCGCGTTCATTGATCTTGATATACTTCAATAATATATTTGAAATTGCCCACTAAAATGTCTTATTCCACAAATATCGAGATTATTGCATAAAAATCTTGGCATATCCGCATGTCATATGTAGCGATGTCCACTCATCTCATAAATTGTCCTGAATTCCAGAGAGGAAATAATAACGTACCAATCTAATGCCTATTGTAACACCGTCGATGAAAAACTGGAATCTGGCAATTGTTGTAACTAAACTTTTAACCAGTATAACTTTTTCATTGAATGTACATATTATTCCTCATTTATTTATTATAAACACTTAGGTACTGATTAATCTTTAGCTTAGCTCTCTGCAAAATTACCAGTTCTTTGTTACACATTTTCACCTGGATTTTTACCAGAACGATCATGTGCGTCGATTTGGCGGGGGCTTCCCTCGATCCGTTTGAGAAGTAAAATATACTTAAAAGGGTACGCATTTTTTAAGCAACGAGTTACATGTATTTATTCAAAACATCCGCAAAAATTACCTTGCTAGATCTGAATTGTGGAGATGTTACCGCTCTCCCCAGTGTGAAAGAGGCATGTATATTTATAAAAATTCAAACAATCCGACTGCAGTAACTCAAAAGAGTGAAGAATCAACAATTTGATCTTGTCGAATCTAAAGACACCTCAAATGTCAAAATCCATCAAGCTGTTTGAGCTGTGTCCCGTGAAATAGGAGTTTCAATTTTTTCAATTCATAAAGTCACTTAAGCTGTAGCCAGTAGACTAGCAATGTCAAAGTTGAAATGCTCGATTAAAATCCGCCATTTTGATTTCATAAAACTTCAGTATACCCAGAATCACTCGAGCTGTCAATTTTCTAAAATGATATATTGTGTTTTTTTGATGTTATATGACCTGTATGTCACTCATTTACATCGGTCTGTCTGTCTGCCTGTCTGACCGCTAATCTTATAACCGCCTATAACATGAGAAGTACCGCTCGGATGTCCATGAAATTTTTACACAATGTTACTACTATGCCAAGGTCACAAGAGCTTTGTAGTTTTTGAAAATCGGTTCAGTGGCGGAAGAGAAAAAAGCCTAAGTCGAAAAAGGTAAAAATCGCGCAAACCTCGTTTTTTGACGTTTCAGAGGATCCTGTTCAATTTTTGAAAGAAATTGATTCAAAAATACTTGAAGGTGACAGTTGTCGGGGGGTGGGGAGGGTTTTCCTCAATTTGTTATATTAGTATACATTTATACGCTTCCAACCTTGGTAATTATACCCACCTGTTAGACATATTTCACACATAGATTTCTCGGTACATTAGCCTTTAAAACTAAAAATATTCTCGGCAGACGGATCGCTTGCCTATAAGGTCAAGGCACAGTGTTTCCTATGCTCTTACCGCGCTGCCATCTCTGACCGAGTTAAGTATCGGGTAAAGGTGACGTTTCCAGATACTCTAACGGTGGTGTCTGTGGACTAATTGTATGGACCTGTTCGTCTGACTATTTTCTCAGAGAGTCTAGTTTGTGCCCTTTATGGAATGATAAGGTTACCTACTTAACACCATTTTTTACTAAATTGAAGAGTACTCAATTTTCAATCGCCAGTGCACTCCCTTAACCATTTTTTAACACAATTAATGGGAGAGTATGTTAACCAAAATATGAAATAAACATTTCGTGTTTCGGAATATTTGTCGTCACAAAAATCTGTCTCTTCACCAAGATCTCATGTTGATCTGTCAGTTGGTGAGAAAAAGCACTATATAACTCTGAAATTAAGTTCAAGCATGAGCATTTTATCGCACGTTCAAAATGAATACAATGTTTAGCTGAGATTTTGAAATTAGCTACTAATATACTGCTAGACAGCTTTATGGTTTAATATTCAGAGCCGTCGTAAGCCATGTAGGGGCCCCTAGGCTCACAAGGCACACCAAAACCAAAAACCTGTTTTGCCTCTTGGAAAAATGAAAGAGCGGAGGGAGACACAAGAGTACTCAGACATTTGATTTTCGAGTATATGATGCCCCCCATCAGGATAGGGCAAAGACGGTAGATGATCATTGGTTTCCACTCTGGAGAAAGAAAAATATACAATTTTGATTAAACTTTGACCGAACAAATAAAGCTCCCAAACATTGGAGGAAAACTGAGGGCTAAGTCGCTTAATATTAGTGTCCATTTAATATTTGACTTAAAGTCAAATTGACATTGAAACTGTGCGCTGCAGCGCTTTAGTTCACTGCATGTGGCCGTTGTTACTGTAAGTTTTTGAGCTTTTCATCGAATTTCCCAAAAAATATATGTGGAGGTAGAAAGGGGTGAAAATCTTAAATGCTTGCATAATTTGAAAGTAACAGAAAATTAGCGCGTAAATCTCCTTGATTTTTGTTGTGTTCCTATTTAATGTCTTTCATTATAAACAGTATAATAAATAATAACGGTACTTATAATTTAACGGCAAACGTTCTATTTAATTAGCTCATACTGATACAGTTCAAAAAGTAGGCTACTCACCGAAACCACTAAGACGCGCCAAGAATCCTAATCCAAGAATCGAAATTCCTAACAGCACAGCTGACGATGACGTCTCGCACCTAATTTCACGGCTGATATGCTAGAAGATCGCGTATTCGGCGTCGTCGGTTTGTTCGTCAGTGTGTCTTCACTTTCGACAGTGATTGGGAATGGTGAGTGCTGGTGGTGTATCTCTATCCACATTCGACATCAGCAGAGTCCGCCGGCGTTCGCGAGTCATCACAATCAGCGACTGAGCGTGAGCGAGCGCGACTGCGGCGAATCGGGTCAATGCGGTTTCTCTCGAAGAATGCTTTGCCCCCTCTGAAACGCACACCTATGTCGGGGGCACCTCACACCACAGACTGCATCGCTGTCACTTCAGGAAGTACTCCAAATTATTGAAGCAGTGAGCTGTGACATGCCAAACAAGTACCATGGTTAGAGAAAGTATGATCAGTCTGCAGCGATATCCGTTGAAATTTTCCATAAGACGTGTTCGGCCAGGCCTCTATTGAACTGCATTTTTAGACTTCATGGTTGTCAGTTTCTAGCAAGTCATCTTCTCCATAATAACGATTGAACCATCCTTAACTTTGTCCATCCTCCTTGTGTAAATTGGATGACAGGAACCATAAGTCACAGTAATCTTTATACCAAAATACAGCAATCTATAGTTTTTTCTTGGAAAAAAGTGGCGTCAAGTAGGTTCTGCACTTGCCACGCATCACCTTTACCAGTACATAGATGAATATGTTCAACACAAACTAGACAATCTCAGAAAAAAGTCAGTCAAACAGGTCCGTACAATTAATCCGTAGATATTCTTTCACTGCCCTACCGGTAGTTCATCTAGAAGCGTCGCCTCTCCCCGATAGCTAACTCGCGCAGACGTGGTACCGCGATAGCACGGCCAGAGCTTAGAAAACACTGTGCTATTGCGCGGCAGTCATAACGTATGATTCCATAACAGAACAGTCATCACGGTCGGCGAACGACGCCTGCAGCAGCCGCAGCGGATAGGTACGCGATCCGTCCCCCGATAATATTTTTCAGGGCTAATGAACAGAGAAATCTAAGATGTGTGAAATATGTCAGGTGCGTAGAATTACAAATGTTGGGAGCGCATAAATGTTCCAGCATCAAATAATTGAGATAAACCCTCCCTATATCCATACAATCTCCAGTTTGAGCAATGTTTATTTTTTGGTTTTATGCCTTTTTCTCTGCCGACATGGGACCGATTTTCAAAAACTATGCAAAGCTTATGCGCCCTTGACATAGTAGTAATATTGTGTAAATATTTATTCGAAATCCGAGTGGCACTTCTCAAGTTATAGGCGGTTATGGGACTAGCGGACAAACCGACGGACAGGCAGACCGACGGAAATGAGTATCATGGTTTTTCGTGATGTACATGTCATATAACTCCAAAAAAAATATAATATGGTATGTCATTTACGAAATTATTTGCGATTGCAATACTTCCCCTCCAGTAGGCATGAGAAGTAAAAATAACAGGCTTGTGAGTCTAGGGGCCGCCCCTCTCGTCCCCCTCTATAAATCCGCCACTGTGTTTACCGCACCTACCTGACTTGCTGACTCATGTGAAGATCAAGATGTCCGGCCATTTCGAAGACATCATTAATTTCTCCATCAATCATTAGTCCATTATTATTACAACTGTTTCCATGTGTATATACCTGCACCTATTTCCTGCTCGGTTTTTGTCCCTTCTGTGCACCAGGTATAATTTCCCCGTTGCAGGTTGTGCTTTTGGTGTGTGTACAGTGATCGCTTGATATCAAAAAGCTCCATATTGTATTTTTTGCAATGGTAGAACCACTGACACTTTACTGAAACAAAACTACCCTTCGCCCAGATTTCTTTGGATCTCCGTGGATATCCCAAATACGAAAATGTTTTGATTCGCCACCTTAAGCAGGCCAAACTCTTGTGACTTATTTTCTCACAAGTCAAACAGCATGGTCCTCTTGAAGTGTCATTCTACCATTTCTCGCCTTCGGATCCATGAACAACGCAAGTCCAGCATTAGTAGTCGAACATTAGAATACATGTGTTGCGACAGCAATTCTGGATGGGTTTTTAAGTTGTCGAGGTCGCTTGGCATTTTGTTTTTTTGTGTTGAGCGAGGGTGACAGATCTGCTGCTCGCTTGTCGCATTGGAGCGACCAAATGTCTTTGGCAGTGGGTCCGATTTTGCTTGATTTGCGCGGTACCAGTTTTAAATAATTGTAATGATGGGTTCACGCAATATCGGCGGCATGTTGCAGGAATCTTTCCTAGTCACGCGACAACAATTCAAATATTTGTTGCCTCTGAGTGAGAATAAAATGAAATAATTAATACATCCATCTAACATCTAGTCGAATGTCAAAACCTAATAACAACAAAACAACAGCAGAAAAATTGGATGTATAACTTTCCACAAGTTTTCCATTTCTGTCAGGTAGTCAATCAATTGCTAATCTTTGTAGGCTGTAAAAGTCATAATGACGACAACAAAATCAAAGGACATCAATCATAAATTATTACTTGCTAAATTAAATTACATAGGTCTTGACAGTGTATCCCTTCATTTTTCGACAGTTACCTTCATCAAAGAACTCAGTGTGTTTTTCTGAATCAAGAAATGTCTCAAGTGACAATAATTCCCTGAGGCGTACCTCAGGGCTCTGTATTGGGGCCGCTTCTGTTCCTCATATATACGTTCGACTTAAGCAACAGTATTGATAATTCTCATGTCCAGTCATTTGCAGACGATACGCAATTGCTTCATTATTTTAACCCAGATAATGTCAATAATACTACTCAAATTTTACAAAACGATGTTAATAAATTAATTAAATACTCTTTAGATCACAATCTACTTATTAACCCCTTCACATCCAGTACTCCACATATGGATATTTTGAATATGCTCTCTGGATACCATAATATCCACATATGGATATCATTGTTAATGGTTTATGTTATGGAGCAGGGAACTGGTATGGCGAGCTGCTATCAATTAGACCGACTGGTATATATAATAATAATAATATCCAAAATATTTCCACAGAAATATTTTTACTGTTAGTACATAAGTAGTCACGCTGGTACGCGGTCGTAATGCCTCTAAATTACGTTTTGGCGGGAAAGTCTGTTTTATCGTGTTTCTCAGTGTTGTTTGGATGTAAAAGTTTTATTTATCAAAAATGAATGTCCAGGACTATTATACAGATAGTGATGACGATTCGGAGTATGAGTTAAGTGATAATTCGGATATGAGTGACTCTGACGAAACATATTCGGAGACCGATGACGATGAACTTGTCGAAAACGTGACCATGGACGAATGGCAAGTTTTAAGTGATCCTTTTTCCGATCAGGTTCCTAGAGCTACGCAAAATTTTTCTTCTGAATATACTTTTCACCCCGCCATTGATATGGAAGAGTGCAGAGATCCAGTCAATTGTTTCGAATGTTTTTTAAGCCCAAATATCGTAGCGAAATTAAGTGAGTGGACGAACAGAAGAGCTGAAATGTACTTTGAACAAAATACAAATACAAGGACAGTTTATGGCGTTCAGTGGAAGAAACTAGAAAAAGAAGAGATGTACGTTTTCATCGCGCATCATATTCTTACTGGATTAGTAAAGTACCCTCGCATAACAGATTACTGGAGTAATAACATTTTGTGCGCTGGTCCAAAAGTTTTCAATAAGTCTATTATGAGTCGAAACAGGTATCTTTCTATACTCAAGTTTATTCGGTTTTCGCCACCCGAAGCAGCAAGAACCAATGCCCCTCTAAGCCGACTTGGAATTTATATGTCCATGCTCAAAGACAACTGCAAGACGTTGGTTGACCGTGGACCAGTGTTTGCAATAGATGAACATTTGATGCTTTATAAAGGCAGATTGCACTTTCGTCAATATATTAAAACAAAAAGAAATCGATTTGGCATAAAACTTTTTGCAATGTGCCCAAGCGCTCCACATTTGCGCGGATATACTTGGAACTTTTGATTGTACGTAGGGAAAGACAATTTCGATGTATCCCATATTCCAGGCACCGGAAACCTCACTGTTTCTGAAAGAATTGTCGTGCATTTAGCTCAAAATATACTGAACAGTGGCCGAGAAGTTATTCTAGACAATTGGTATACATCCGTGCGGCTTTCGCAATTTTTACTTACCCAAGGAACCTATTTGACTGGAACTATAAGAAGCAATCGTGGAGTTCCCGCTCAGTTAACTAGAATTCCACTAGAAAGGTACCAATCCTGCTTCGTACGGAAAGACATGCAACTTCTTGTACGATATAAGGACAAGAAGGATGTTTACTTGTTGACAAGTAAGCATAGTGCAGGGTTTTTGAAAAATCTCGCTATATGGTAGGCGGTAAACAAGTGCATTTTAAAAAACCTGCCCACATTGAATTTTATAATCAAAATATGGGCTCTGTTGACGCTGTCGATCAAGATCTGGAACCTTACAATTCTTTACGAAAAAGCTATACTTGGTTTACAAAAGTGGGCTTTCAATTAATGCTTCAGATGCTTCTAAATTCTAAGGTTTTATTCTGTAACGCTAAAGATGATTTCAACATTTCGATGTATGACTATATAAAACTGTGCTGTAATGGTATTTTGCACAAATACAGTGAAGGATATCGCTGCATGACGGATGCTTCTTCATGTTATAATCAACCTTCAACTTCAAAAAAAAACACAAAAAGAACACGTTATGGTTAATTTACCAAAGGAAGATGGAAAAAAACGGGCATTCCGAAAGATCTGCGTTATTTGCCGAAAACACAACCAAAGGAAACTAACACGAAATATTTTCATTGAGTGTCCAAATAAGCCAGGGCTTTGTTGTCCGGAACATTTTCAAGAATACCACAAATGAACTTTATATTTTAAGCGGTTTACCAATGTTACGTTCTACTAGTTTATTTTATGTAAAAAATATGAATAAAGCACTTATGTTCAAAAAATGTGACTTTGATTTATTTTTACATGGATATCCAAATATGGATATTATGGTATGCCACTATTATCCAAATGGTGGATATACTGGTATAGTCATAAAATATGAATCACTGTCGCCATGTTGTTTTTGAATTTCATGAAATATTTTAACTGTGGTTAAAGATGTATGTCATTATGTAATCTTAATATTTCATTTCGATTTTTTTTTTCGTCTGGTATGTGAAAGTGCCTTTTTAAATTGCACCTGGATGTGAAGGGGTTAATCCACAAAAATCTAAAATGTTATTATTTTGCGCACAAAGAAAAACATACAATGTAACACAGCTCTTGAACATTCAGATAAATAACCAAATTTTCTGATTCTGCAAAAATTCTTGGTGTTATTTTTGATACAAAATTAAGGTTTATTGAACATGTTAAAAGTCTATCTCAGAAAACCTACCTACGGCTGCGCACTCTTATAGCAAACAGGTATTTACTAAATTTTAAGATGCGTAAAAAACTATGTGCAGCATTGGTCATATCTATACTAAATTATTGTAATATCGTATACTATACTTGTTTAGACAATTTCACTAAAAACGTTATTCAAGTTATTCAAAACAATTGTATACGATTCATTTTTGGCTTACGTAAATTTGATCATGTATCAGCGAAATATCCCGTTCTAAACTGGTTAAAAATTAATGACATGGTCAAGTATCACTATTCAGTTTTTGTTCACAAGTTGCTGCTCACGTCTAAACCTTATTACTTGAAGGAAAAAATTTCATTTAATAATGATGTTCACTGTAGAACTCTAAGAGAAAATAATATTAGAATACCCCTGCATACCCCTTTTTAAACGCAGTTTTTCTTACAATGTTGCTATTATTTATAATGACCTTCCTAAAGTATATAAAGAATTTTCACTACCTGTCTTTCGACAAAAAGTTAAAACATTATTACTCAACCCTCCAAACATCTAATTTACGTAATCATTTATTTCTTTTTGATTCCATCTTTAATTCAGATTAATAATTTTTTGGTGCATTTGGATTTGGAAAGTATGCCTTTTTCTATCTTTTTAAATTTTACTTTCGATGTAATGAACCAAATCTGTTGGTGGATAGTGCATTCTTTTGAACATCTGCTAGAGACTATATGGTTAAGTGTAAGAGTAGCAGCATGCTAAATTTCGCCATGTAAGTCTTACATTTGGCTATACTACAATGTAATTGTGGATAAATAAAGACGTCTATTATTATTATCATTGATGGACACAATCGTCTACATCCCGTTCCCGCTACTGGGAAAATGCTCACGCGTTTTTTTTACCATCAAGTGATAGCGTCATTCCGTTGGCTGAATTTGTTTAACTACTGCAGAATATACCCCGCTGCTTGGCTGCTCCCTCCAAAACAGTTTTTTCAATGAGGTAAGCTTAACACCCTGTGTTTGAAGATTCACTGTCCAAACTGTAATCAAATTGACAACCGATTTTGACATTCTTGGGCATACCCTCACCCAAAATTCAAAGTCTTTCGCGTTTTTTCAACGTGATAAAATATGGCCCGTAGAAAAGCAATCTCGCGGAAATCACACAGACCGCATCACTCATCCAAGACCAAGGTCCTGAGACCCGACACCTATAAGACCGGTAAGATAACTACCAGCCCGTTTTTGAACTTCGTTCGAGATGTCAGAAAGAACTCGAAAGGTCTATCTATCTGCGAGATAGGAAGTAAAGCTGGTAAGATATGGCGCAACATGACTGATGAACAGAAAAAACCCTACTATCTCCTGGCGAAAAAAGCGAAGCTGCAGAACCCGCACGGTCATGGAATGAGAGGTCGACCCCATAAAGTGGAGAAAAGACATAACAGCTCCAGATCAAAGCGGAGATCTTTCTAAGGGAAGAATATGTCTTTTTAGAAACCTACTAAATGTACTTGGGATAAAAATGCCGTTGAGTTTTTGCTCAATTACTCGTACTGTTTCATTTCCATATCATAGATCATTAAAATAATATATAAAAACCGTCACAAATTACAATAAATCCGAAAATCCATAAAAACCACAATGGTGAAGATGCGAAGCAGGGCGGGGTGGTTCTTGAATGTCAATTTGTCAATGACTCATGAAATAGCGAAAATATCGTACGAAACTCAAAAGCCAAATGTCCTCAAGGAGATTAAAATCTCAAGAGACTTCTGTTTCATAAGAAATTTATCTTGGTTGTGTTTCTGAAACACTCTAGTTATGCTACTTGCAATTTTTTGCTCTCACATGAGACATTGTGTCTCTGAGCTCAGCTGTTTCCACATTTACTTACTTGAGTGAACGTGAGAGAAACAGAGAAAAGTACTTTATAAAATTATTGATCATTATTAAATGATTGCGGGTTAAAGATGCCAACAAAAAAGCATAGAATAAAAAGCGGATCCTTGTTATTATTATCTTGCTGTTGTTAAGTCTCGTACTGTACGAGTTAACAAAAGGCTTCAGAAATGTTGGAGATTATACATTATTAGAAAAACTAGAACGGGAAGATAGGAATTTTATAAAAACTTTGTTCGGATAGCAGCTGTTGTTTTTCGGTATTTGCTAGACAAATTAAAGTTTGCAATAGAAAAACAAAACACAAATATGCAAAATGCAATTCCAGCAGCTGAGCGGTTTCCGTCCATACATATTACTGCTATGACTTTAGTCCAGTTGAAAATATAATTTTTCCTTTGCAAATCTCTTTTCAGTTGGTTCGCTTATTTCCACAGAAACAAATTTATCTCACGATATAACAACGTAAATTACGTGCAGCAAGTGATATGTCTCGATATTCGCGTTTACGCTCATGACACATTATTTCACGAGATTATCTCACGACTGTTTCTATAATAAAATAATGCTTTTCATGAGATTTTTATTTTACGAGACAAAAATATCTTGAAAAAATCTCATTATTGATCTGCATCTATAAAACAATAATAATAATTGGTCGTTATTAATGCGGTGTTTAGCTATAGGTTCTTCCACACAACATTTTAAAACCGCAAAAATTACAAATTACAGATACAATGTGTCTGGTGGAGTACCAATTACAATAAAATCAAGTATTAGCAAGCATACAGATAAAACTTTTAAGACAATTGTTTTTCACACAAACTGGATAAAATTTGGAATGTTTATAATAAAAGACTCTAACGATGTAAAATATATAAGTAAATAAGACACTAACAGGATAAAATATAGATGAAAACAATGAGAATGCGTCACTAAAAGGCCAGCATTTCCATGACTCGATATACATACATCTTAATTTCTGGTTTAAATTTATCAACTGTCGATGGCATATTCCGAAAGAAAGCTGTCCTGCGGTGAGGCATTGTCAAGGTGTTCTTATATCTTATATTTCGGGAATGTATAGATATATCTCTGCCCAATCAGTTTCTCTCTTAAAAATACGGACACCACAGATCTATCTAAAAGTTTGTGAGTGTATGTGAGCATATAATTAATGTCTCATACTCGGCCATCCAACTTCTGAGAAAGCAGTAATGATATAGTCGATATTTCTGAGATTCTCAGACAATCTACAGCAGGTGTTTTGGAGTTTTCTTACGGTTTAACAGTCTAAGAAAGGAAAATATACTAAACGGCAGTATATGAGCTTAGGTATCACCAAATACTCGCACAATATTCTCTTGACTTCAAAATCAAGTAGCTGTTTACTTACAACAATCTGAGAATTGACTAGCAACTTTTGCTTAGATTATTTACATGATGAATAAGTTTCAGCTCCTCATCAAAAGGTACACCTAAATTTCTTGCTGATTCCCTAATTGGTATGACCTTTGCATTTAAAGATATCAAATTTTCTTTCAATGTATGCCTTATTTTTTGAGGGGTAAAAACCATCACAATTGATTTAGCAGGATTAAGCTGTAAATTATGTTGCCTAGCGCAACTATCTATGGACTCTAAATCACTGAGCTCCTGCTGAGTTTGGTGAACATAGTCGCAATCAAAATGGTGATAAAGCTGGGTATCACCAGCAAAAATTGTACTTACGTTGCAATGCTTCACCGATCTATCTAGATCAGCAATATACAAGAGAATTACGAGTGACCCAAATATAGACCCCTGAGGTACACTAGAATTTATAGGGCTTTCACAGCTTACTGATCGTCCACCTGTCGTCATTGATTGAACAGCGACCTTTTGAGTGCGTTTTAATAAATAACTGGATATCATTTTGAGTCCAGTTTCTTAAACCCATAAAACCAACATTTAGCTAATAATAAGGAATCGTTAATCTTATCAGAAGCTTTGCAGCACTAATGCAGTAGACTGCTTACTCGTATCTCAAGCTCTGACGATGTTGCCGATTAGCTTCCTATAGTCTACCTTAGCTAAAATGTTTGAAAGTATGGGTAGAATGCTGATTGGGCGTAAATCATTAAATAATAATTGTGGATTACTATTTTTAGGGAAAGAAAGAACAACAGACTGTTTCCAGGCTTTAGGAAAATTACCTTTTTTAAGCAGCAGTTAACAATATGTATGTAAATATAGATTTTTGGAAAACATAGCTTGGTGATTGTCAGGTTGAGTCCGTCATTTTCCTGATCATTAGGCTTAATAGATTTGAAAGTTCGTATTATGCCTTTGTGATCGAAATAGTTTAAAACGCTAAGCCAAAATGCTTTCTGGACTCGACATTTACAAATAATAAATCTCCCCAAGCTAAGAACATGAGACAATGATTTGATACATTCGAGATTTATCATTATTTATTTCTTCTTTCCATTAGTAAAGTGTCCAGAGAATTTGAAATTTCTCAAACATACGCATATCTTGTAGAAAGTAGTTACGACTGTTTTTGGGCCATCAACATTTTGAAAAGCTAAACTTTTTTACTATTGCGCGAGTTCCATGTCAATTTTAATTTACAAGAATGAGTGGAAAGATGGGAATCTACTAGATGTAGATTAAACTTGCGGGCCGCAGTTGGGCCACCCCCAGCATGTATGGTCCTCTCATCAGGGTTGAAAATATAAATATTATCAAAGTTTTTCAACCACAATAAACAATTCAACTCTCAAACTGAAAATATCAATATTTCGCAAGCAACACCGATTTGAAAGCAGTTCAAGAACAACACTTCGCTGAAGTGTTCAAAATTTACATGCGACAATTTTGTACAAGATTCGAGAACCACCTAGCAACGTTTTGCATACCCCAGACTCATGCCGTATATCTCAGCTCTGAAAGAGCCACATAAATTACACACTAGTGGCCAAGTGGAAGACCAAGTTCAAATGCCCCTATGGCTATGAAATAAGAGTTTGACACTTGTTCGACCCAGTGTATCTTTTCATTGGATGATTTGTATCTATGGCGCAGGTATGCAGGGTCAAGTTTGAGACCCATGCGTTTCCTAAATTATGTAATAACTTTGGAACCATCGACCTTTGTCATAAGTCAGCAAACAAAATGTTCAAAAAGTAGGTCGAACCTTGTGCTTCTGATGGATCCTTTCGAATTTTTTTTCTAACTTCTAGCTTAATAGCGGACGTTATCTACTTCCGCAGGTCTATTACTAAGTATTTTGATTCTTAAAGTGCCAATGATGTATATGCATGTACAAAATATAGCGGGTTATTTTTTGAGAATCCAATTTTCATCAAAAGTGTCAAATCATCAAAAAAATATTCTAGTATATCCTACACACCATAGAATCATTATGAGTTGTGTAAACTCCTGGCTATACAGGCACATGCACTACTGCTCTTTCCGTCATGATGGGATAACAGGGGGTCTTAGCCATACAAGGAAAATATTACACTATTACACATTACTCTCTCATGAGTCATCACGAGGAGGTCCCCGGCGCCTTAATCCATCCGAAGACATTGACTGCTCCCATTTCAGGTGTTTGTCAAACAAGTTTACGGAATTAACATCATTATATCCTTTAGGGCCGTATCGTCAGTCGTCGCTACAATTGTAGGATGCCTTTATGGCCTCCTCGATTTTCATAGTATTTTCTCTCATTCAAAAAGGCTGGGGTATTTCTAGATTTTTAGTGCTCCTTGTCAGCGTCAGTGCTCTCCTAATGTGAAGTTATGTTTTCTTTTTGATTCTTAATAAATTCCAGGCTAATAAAACATAAAAATCAAGTTTTATCAGCCTGAAATTTCTTAGAATTCAAAAAGAAAACATAACCTCAAAATAGAGCGCTGACACGAAACAGTAGAAATCTAGAAATACCCTTGCCTTTAGTTAGTTAATTTCACCATTTTTCAATTCAACGACGTCTAGTAATCTCATTCCAAGCAAACCAAGTTAATTTACTTCCGTTCTAGTTGCTTGCAACTTGCGAAGTTAATTTCACCAGATCTTTGACGCTGAGTAGAGGGTTTTTAAAACCTTTCCGATCCTCGGCGACAAATGTATTTGACAAAACCACCTCATTTTTACAGTCCGCCCCCTCTCTTTGGTCTTATAAACCCCTAGAGTACTATCCTGGGAACGGTTACTGAAACTGTATGTTTTAGTGATAATCCAAGTTATAGTGACTAGGAAAATAAAAGATGTTTTCAACTAATTAATAATTTAATGAGATAAAAATGCAAACAACTAATTAGTAGCATGATAAAGCCCTTATAATGTCTAAAAACAAAGGTTCCTGATATGACTTACCTAAATAAAAAGACTTATGAATCAGAAAATTAGGTACAGATTGAGTGTCCTTATGACTTATTGGCGTTTTTTTTTTCTTGATAACATAAATATGATATGTATAAACAATAAGAGGCTTTGAACTAACATAAAATAACACATACAAAGATTTTAAGAACTAATTATTAGTTGGCAGACGTTTTTGTAAACTAGATTTAGTAGCAAACAATCTACTGTCAATACTGTTCATGATGTTTAACTTCATCTCTACCTAAACTGACACCAAAATTAATCCATCAGAAGAGAGAAAAATAAAGAGTTTATGATTAATACTTGAGATCTTGATGTCCATATTTGAGTCTAGCAACAAAGTTATTTTGTATTGTTTTCATATAATTAAAAGCTCTGAGACATACGTTAGTGTTTATGTTGTTCATCTAATGTTTACTATTTATTAATCATATAACTTGATTTTTGCATAAATTATTCAAAATACGACATAAACAATATAAGTAAAATAAGGGTAATAAATATCACTTTACGATTTCATTTACGTAAAAGTACTCTTGCCTATTAAGGTACTTACGTTATCAACCAATGCATCTAATATTCAATGGTGCTTCAACATTACTGGTTTGTGAAATTTAAGAATAATGTTATTTTGGCATCAATACTGACGGTTTCATAATCACCTGGCTCATAAGTTATTCCATAATAAGAATTGTTTGCTACTACTTTGCAAGGTGATAATAATAAATCACATTCATAAGTTCAACGCATTAATCTACATCTAAAACAATGTGAACAATTAGTAAAATAGATCATTCAGCTTCAAGATATATAGCTGTAGATGAACGCACATATACGTACATTTATAGCATTTGACATAACCTATTATGCGTTTGATGAATTATCAAATTAACAATAGAATGAATCAACAAAGCAGGATCAAAAATGTAATGATGATGCATCTTGCAAACTGCTATGGTGCTAAGCAGCTAATAAATTTTTGCAAACAAAACTGGGCACCCTGTATAACCAACTAGTGAAGCTACTGACCTAGCATTAAGAATTCTGGAAGAACTGAACGAATGTCTCGAAAATAAGAAAATGACTAGAACTAAGAATTTAATGACAGTAGAAATAGATCCGTGGATGTTCCTTCTATGTGACTAGATAAATTTGAGCGCGTAAAAATAGAAAAAAAACTGTGGAATGTGGCATTGTAAAAAAATAATGAAAACTTACTACTACACCTACAAGAAAAAAATTATTACCATCACCATGCAAAAAATTAATCAAAAAAAGATACGTAAATTCTTCGTATATTAAATATTATGACCTAATACATCCCTAGAATATCCCGGCGTAGAGTTTCCATTGTGTCCTTAAAATTACTACAGTTTGTCTGTTCACCCCTCGGTACCGCGACCAAGTCAACTTTATCGTGTTATTTAAAAGCAATGGCCTTTATGGGAATTCGAGATCATTCTGCGCAGAAAAATATCACAAACTACCTTCAAATAAGCGTATCGATCGGAAACATTTTACAAAAATCAACCGCCGCCCATACAACCAATAATCAAAGGGAGGGCATAAAGAGGATTACATGAAGATGTACTCATAAATGAAGCTAATTCTTATAGTTGAATAAGCAGTGGTTGCAAAAGTAGATTGATCGTTACATTATTTCATGTTCATTACAACACATACATTTTGTTAAAATTTCCTATTCGTAGCATAACATTACACATTGCGATACTCGCAAAGAAAACGAAATATGGCAAATTCGCTTGTCTCAAAAGACTTCAACGTTGTAAGTTGATTTATAATTATATCGAATTTACATATATTTTTATAGTCCGCCCCCAAGAAGAAAATAAATATTTACGAATGCTTTACAAGAACAAAGTTTCTTTCTGACTTCACTGCTTTTTGTTTTGTCGCTGCAACTCGACATCCTTGACTACCCTCCTCCTATATCAATTTTTGTAGAGACCATGTGCTAAAGCACTTCCCATCCCAGTACATACACCAAATATGTAAAAAATAATAAGGTATAATAGAAATAAAAGAGAAAAAAGAAGTATACCAGGACTTTCTATGAAGACAGTCCTATCTGTACCTACAGCAACCAGTTGTGATTTACAATGAGCATGAAATAAAATAAATCATGTCACTACAATGTTATCATTTCTCATATCAATTACATAATATACAATATACGTATTGTAATAACACGAAAAACTTGACCAGGTCAGTAATTAGAATTATTTCTACACTAAAAATTATTGTTTAAGATTCAAAGTATGTCACAACACATAATAAGTATTAACAGATTGTTCTTTCTATTGACCATCATATAAAAAATTGTCATATCAAACACCTCCAGATTACAAGAATCTTTTACCATTGTATCTCATCACTTCATTCCAAGATATTATTGAAAAACCGACTTCTAAGTTTTTTCATTTAGTTTATTTAGTGAACCAGCATCTTAAGTAATGACCAATGAAGTGTCTTCTGTTCATATATATATGATATGAATATCGAAATGCAAATATGTGAGATATCGAGCAGCAATTCACGTTAAACATACCACTCAAAGCATGTACAGGAAGGTTTTACATATATTCACCACATGACTGGATAATACAGAGAATACTGAGAGCATTGAGGAAACGTCGACTGTAAATCGCTTTCTGTCAATGGCCACTTGAATCAAATAGACACTAACATGTAAATGGCTTTCTGTCAATGGCCATTTGAATCAAATAGACACTGGGTGGGCCATTAATAAAGGATGCTGGTTGTATCTCAGCAGCCACTCAACCTAGAGCTATCGAGTAAAAAGGTGGCCAAGATCAATTGCGGAAAATTATATATACAGGGTTTGTCCGGAAAGTAATAGGACTTATTTTCTTCCGCCATGACTGTACTTCGGAGCGTGCGCGCACCGACATGATTTGGTAGAGGGCGTTCCTAGCTAACGAATGAGCGGCTGGTGAGTTGTCTCCGAGCACTTGGAGAGTCAGGACAGGCATTTTCGCGCGACGTGTTTCTGTGAGTGGTGCAAGCCGAAAATGCAGCGTTCGTTAGAGCAGAGGTACGCGATTAAATTCTGTGTGAAACTCGGTAAATCTGCGACAGATACGTTTGATATGATCAAGCAGGCTTACCCAGGTGTTGCTTTAGCAAGAAGTGGTGTGTTTCGGTGGCACCAGGCCTTCTTGGAGAGCCGGGAAGAGGTCGCTGATGAAGACCGTGCTGGAAGACCTTCGACTTCGACAAACACCGATAATGTGAGTCGTGTGCGCAAAGTTTTGAACTCAGACCGTCGGCTAAGTATTCGTTTAATTGCCCAGATGTTAAATTTACCAAAATCTGTGGTTTATGACATTGTGACACAGCATTTGCGCAAGCGCAAGGTGTGCGCGAAGATGGTCCCAAAAGTGCTCACCGACGACCAGAAATTGCGGCGAGTGGAAGTGTGCCAAGAAGATTTGAACATGTGTGAAAGTGACCCCCAATTTTTGAATAACGTAATCACAGGTGACGAGTCGTGGATCTTTGAGTATGATCCCGAGACAAAGAGGCAATCTTCCGAGTGGCACACGACGGCGTCTCCTCGCCCAAAAAAGGGAAGAATGATAAAATCCAAAGTGAAAACGGTGCTCATTGTCTTTTTTGACATCAAAGAAATCGTCCACCATGAAATTGTTCCTCCTGGACAAACATTCAACGCCAAGTTTTACCTGGAAGTGCTCAGGAGACTCAAACGAAGGGTCAGTCGGGTCCGACAAGACAACGCAACCGACTAGAAGTTGCACCACGACAACGCCCCGGCTCACACCGTCTTTCTTGTGAACAGCTACCTGACAAAGGCCGGCATCCCATCGCTTCCGCAGCCGCCCTACAGCCCAGATGTGGCCCCGTCGGACTTTTTTTGTTTCCTCGCCTGAAAAGGCCGATGAAAGGCAAGCATTTTGAGACGACAGAGGGGATCCAAGCAGCATGCACCGCGGCTCTCAAGGCTATTCCGGAGAATGCCTTCCGTGACGCCTTCAATGCTTGGAAATCGCGCTGGCAGTGCTGCATCGACGCAGAAGGAGCCTATTTTGAAAATTTTTAAAGAATTGTAACGATTGGCTCAATAAATTTTTTTTAAATTGACTCAGTCCTATTACTTTCCGGACAAACCCTGTATTATATTAATAATTACTATATTAATAAGCTCTCTATAATGGGCGCTAGGGACGTAATTATAACCTCATAAATACAAATATTCATAACTAAATATGCCTAAAATAACTTGTTTTAATAGTATACATGATTTGTAAACTTCTACGTTGACACCATTTTTTCATGAATTGGGTTTAGGGGGAGGTAAGCTCGAAGTGATTACAGAAAAAAGTATAAGTAAGTTTTGACAGATGTTATTTTGTCAGCCGTGATATAAGTGGGCACTTTCCAAGAAAATTTGGTCAATGCTCTCGAGAATGAAGAACCTAGAACATTCCAAGTTAGGTCAGCCTACAAGTAGGAGTATGTTGAACCTAAAATACAAAAATAAATAAGCTCAGAAATTATATCCTTATGATGGGGTAGGAAGGGGTTGAATATTCGTATGGGGAACCTTACCACAGTTCAAGTTGGGCTTATAGAAATTTATCTCTAAAGCTATAAGATGAAATTTAGCAGGGAGGTGCTCTCTAGAGAGGAGATGTCAGCTCAGAACCGATTTCGTGACTGGTGTGCAGATATACGCAGTGTTCATGACATAATCTGAAAAATTATTTGGCCTATGAATATACAATTTATCGGAAGGGAATCCTGCTGGATACCTAAAATTAGCAATACTCTAAAGTTAGAGTGGATTTAAACTGAGAATAGAATTTGTGACATGTACCAAAATGGATATACGGGCTGTCACAATTTAGATACATTTAACTTTTGTAAGTAAAGGCTAGGCAGAGAGGTATTTTTTACAATGTAAAATTTGGTATCATCTGTGTCAATTTCAAAAATCTAGTTATTTTAACAATTTTAAGCGTATGAAATCGCGGGTACCAGCTAGTTATGAATATATGTGAAAAAACGGCAGTTGTATTTCAGAGGTTATATTTACGCCCCCTGGCGGTAATTTCTGGGAGTTGAAAATAATTTCCAACAATTTTTCTTGGCCACTTTTGTTATAAAATTTATCCGATAACTCTAGGAGGAGTGGTTGCCGAATTACAGCTTTATTAATGACCCAAGCTGATAAATATTTTTCAAGTAACCATCATTTGAACGCAAAAGATGTAAAAAATGGTAAAATGGTTACCAGCTCTTAGTCATTCACTATCTATGGGTTGCCTAGTGTAAACAGGTATCGTATTTTCAATTCTTATACCCGGCTGTCTATGAATTATACTTTTGAAATAAATTTTCCCACTCTGAATGACTGTAAGCAAGAAAGACGAAATGCGCGTACTGCTTCATGTTGAAAAAAATACATTACTCTCCAAAAAGCCTCAAACAAACATTTTCAGGGTACAAACTTTACCACCGAAAAGTTTAAACAAACGTGATTTTAGTTCATGTGGGAGAATTAATTGCAAATGATATCGACTTCTACTTGCGGCGCTTTTTCAAAGTGCATAGAAAAATTGACCTTTGGTATATAATTCATTCAAAGAAATACGTAAGTGTAAAAATTAAAAATATGATATCTGTTTACACCTTAAACCCATAAATTGTAGCTGACACCCGTTTTGCCAATTATCTACATAATTTTCCTGCAAATGACATTGTATTCTACACCTAAATTTTGCCAGGCAACTTGCTGTACTCTGTTATCATAAAAATTAAATTTCATCAGAGAAAGGTTCCTGTAGATTCAAGCAGACATCTTAAAATACTATAACACTTTCACACTGCTGAATGCACTCTACCATATATAAATCAAACGATTTAGATTATCAATCATTTATCAATGGTCAATAAAAGTTCATAGTCATACAGTAAGTCAAAACAGTATTGACAGACCGCCCTTTTCTTGAATCTCATTATCGAAAATATTTTTTGTTACATTTCTTTGAAAACTAATATCCAATTAGTAATTCTTGGTGGATGGTTATAGATTGAGCAAATTAAAAATAATATAAGAATAATAATAGGAATTATGAAATCCAAAGGTCAAAAAAGTATTGGCACACTAAAAAAACAAAAGTTAATAAGTAATAACAAAATTTATTTGCAGCTACTACTTTGTTATCACACTACATCAATTATGGACTGAAGCTATCATAGCATAGAATTTCTGGGTTATTTCTGGTTAACTTGGTCTCCTTTCTGCATGAGAACATCTTGCAGCTGTCATTTTGCAGATTTTTTTTTCGAGTCTCAAAGTACCACAAACGTCTAACGGGATTGGTATCTTGGAATTAAATGGTATGATAACAAAGTACTAACTTTTGTTTTAGTGTGCCAATATTTATTTAATACCTGAAATTCATAATTCCCATTGTTATTCTTGTGTTATTTTCAATATGCTCAATCTATTGCCATCATAAATAACTATTTGGATGTCAGTTTTCAGATAAATCTAGTATCAAAAAACCCATCTTTTCCCAGTTGAAATTCAAGAAAAAATAGGGTTTGCTCATACTTTTTTGGCACACTGTACATTGTGCTCGAAGGAATGTCTAAACTCACACCATTTTATTGTCTAGACAGAATTTGAGGATTGGAAGTAAGTTTGCTTTGAGTAAATTCACTTTTTTGAAAGATATGAATTAATATGTTGAGATTGACATGCATTCTATTTAGTAATATGCTTTTTTCCGTTAGTGTATGACTTTTCAAAGCACCAAGAATTCATGATATATAATTTGACTCGTCAATTAAATAATAGACACAATTACACAAGATTAAGATACAATAATAACATTTAGTTAATATATGTATAGAATAGATAACCGCTAGGAATTGGCTGCGATTGATTATCAAAATCTATAAACAGAATTTTTACCATTTAGAACTTTTTAAGTACGCTGTTAGACGCTTACACAAAAGTTTAGGTCAAATTAACAATTTTATAATAGCCATTTCCCAATAAAAACCACCCAATACAAAATTCTGTTTGTAGAAGTGATGTGTGAAAGACTTAACATAGTTTAAAGCTTGGTTTATTACAGAGAAAGTCGTCTTTTATGATGCTGAGAAGTTCAAGTGCTGATCAAAGTCAATATTATTTAAATATTGGGGCCTATTACGCTAATTAGTATATTTGTTTTTGAATCCAATGTACATCGTCATTCTTGACCCTCATCTTCATATCAAACAAAATCATTACAAAAAATTCACAATAAAAAACGACTTTCTGTACATTAAGCAGATATTCTGCTGGAATAGTGAAAATAACACGTAAGTGGATAAAAAAAAACAAATACTCGCTAAGTTAGGCAAAAATATATAAATATAAAGAACAAAATATAATATGAACATTTTGGCTTTTCAATAAATAATCTTTTACCAAAAACTTTGGTATTGGGCATACATATCCTAAAAAGTATTGGTTCAAAATTAATTCCATTCATAATATTTTCTGATTTGTCGAGAGTGTAAAGTTTGGCTTACAAATATACGTTATACAAACAATGGGTTGCTCTTCAATTATTAACAAATACATACAATAATTGAGGTAAGTTTGAAGTTCGGAAAAATGTACTACTTTAATATTTTCAGGCATTAAACAATGCAGTGAATGAAACACTGAGGAAATTACATCAATTAAAGTCACTAACATCCAAACAGGTAGTAGAACGTCAGCAACATTTAGTAGAATCGCAAGATATTATTGTAATAAGGAAGAAAAGCAACAACACTGGTTAACAATGGGAACAACTTTATTTGAATGCCAAGTTGATTCAAGACCAGATTAACACTGACATTATGCTCTGCAACGGTTGCAATTTCTGAATTATATAATATATATATATATATATATATATATATATATATATATATATAACAAATTATTTTGGTTTCCAAAGATGAAACAGCAACATCAGGAAATTTACTGTAAGATAATTAAATTGCATGACTTGTATGTATCACAAATTGTTGCAGAGCTCTAAATAGTATCTGTAAGTTTAAACAAACATAAAAAAATAACTGTAGAGGTTTTCTCAAACCTCAAACTTACCAAACTATATGACCTTTTTTACAGACCCTTACTAGCTTCCTTAGCAACCAAATAAGGCAAATTTTACAATAATCGTCATCGTGCCCCTACCCACGCTTCATGTAGCGCATTAATTGGTCTACAGCTAAGTTTGGCCATTCGTTTACCTTCTCTGTGCATGTCATGTGACAAGCACCTTAGGCGAAGTACATTACTTTCTTAGTATCCGCATGAACAGTGATAGCCCTAGCCATAGCACCTGGGGTTCTGTCTTCTGAAGAGCCTGACTGGTGAGAGCCTTCTCCGCTGAAATTGAAATTATCGATTATTGTCACGAAGTTTTGAAAATAAAAGCATAACGAAAGCCATGAGGAACATTTTCTTGAGAGCATCAAGCGTCAAGTGTCGAGTATCAAGGGAGATCACAGTCCACACTTGGTAAATGGGTAACTTTCGAGCATCAAAGTAGGCAAACCAACACTTTTTTATGCTTGTCAAATCTAATCCGACCGCTGACTGACAAACACTAGCTGCAACAGAGTAACCAGCAACATATAGCAATATTTTGGGTGGCCCATCCATGTGTGGACGGAATATTACTCATAAACAAATACATTTTAGGAAAATATGTTTATGGGATGTTATACATGACATTTGAGAGCACATTTCTAAAATATTGCCATTTCGACCTACATATCAAAGTAGTGATTTTTCAAATGGAATCCCTCAAATTTTATTGTATATTTGAATAAACCAATTCAAAAGAAGAAAATTGATATAACATACTATGTATGTTTTGGTAATTAGCTACTGAGATATAAGGTGTTTTGTCTAAAAAAAAAAACCACTTCGGCAACCTCTCAGTCCGCCATTTTGAAATTTGGAGTGCTGAATTTTGTATCAAAAAAGACTTACATACCTCAGCTTTTATCTTATTTGTTACTTTTCCGAATTTTAATTTTTGCTCAAACAGGGTGGTGATAAACGCATATTGTAGTATTTATAAAAAAAATCAAATGCATCACCCTGTATATTTGTGCAAGTTTGAATTCAATTTTTTGATACTAGACATATAAGGATTTTTATGGCTATTTTTTCGGTTATTAGCAGGTCTTTTCTGGAACGGCTTAATTCCCTAAAACATCGCATCATCCTTGGAAACAAATAAATTGTATGATTAGTTGCAAACTGTCAAAATTAACTTTGTGAGCATTACAATAAAAACGTGTTTGAAAATGAATTTTTCTAAAGAAGAAATGGTGAATATGGTGTTCGCCCAAATAAATAGTTTCCTAGCATCTCGTATTTATAAGCAACGGTACCCTAATATGCGACATCCAAGGACGGAAACATTTTCCACACTACGAGAACGTTTTGAATCAAGTGGAGCAGTGGAATATAGTAAAAAATTTGTAAATAATCCAAGTGTCACCAATGGGGCGAATCAGTTGGAGGTTTTATTAAAGTTGCAGGAAAATCCCCATTTAATTGCACGGCAAACTGAAGCAGAAACTCATATATATGCAGAACTTCTGTCCAAAGGATTATTCACAAGCATAGGTACCATCCATATCACCTATGTTTGCATCAAAGCCTTCGTCCTCAGGATTTCGCAGCTCGAATGGAGTTTAGTACAATAATGCTAAATAATGTGAGTGAAGACACTACTTTCCTGGATAAGGTTCTTTTTAGCAATAAGGCAACTTTTAACAGCATAAGTGTTGTCAACAGGCATAACATGCACTATTATGCGACGGAAAACCCTTACTGGGTTTGGCAAATAGATTTCCAAAATAAATGGAGCTTGAATGTTTGGGGAGGAGTTATTGGCAGACAAGTTATCGGGCCTTTCTTTTTCGACAACAGATTAACAGGTACAGGGTACAGGATACTTGAATTTTTTGATCGAGCATTTACCTTTCCTTTGGGAGGACGTCAACCTGCTAACTCGGATGCATATATACCAGGGATGTCTTTTAAGTTTTGCATATGGAAATAAAACAACACAGTAGGTAGTTTTAAATGACTTTATTGTTTTTCGAAGTATTTTCCACGAAGATTAATGCGCACGAACCAATTTTCGAAGCACGTATCCCACTCGTTTGCTGGCAGATCCAAAACGGCATTTTTGAATGCGTCAACCTACTTCTTGTGGTGACCGGAACCTTTGACCACGCAGTCTGTTTTTAATTTTCGGGAAAGTAGAGAAATCGTTAGGACTTAGATAGGGACTATACGGAGGATGGTCCAGTAATTCCACGTTTTCTTCCGTTAAATACTGTCTTGTTTTTTGGGCTCTGTGCGAGCTTGCATTGTCTTGGTGGAGGATGATTCTTCTTTCGGGGTTGATTTTAAATCCACGATTCATCACCATTAACAATGCTGTACACATTTTTTGAGTTTCCGGAATTGAAACGGTTAAGCGTTTTTTGACACCAATTACCCCTGGCTGCTTTCTGTTCTTCAGTGGGGTATCCAACGAGATACTAATTTTCTTACTCCTAATTCTTCATGTAATTTTTTTTGAATTGAGGTCTTTGAGATCTTCAAGGACGCCTCAATCTCGCGATATGTCACATGTCTATCTTCAATGATGAGTTTGCGCACAGCATCGACGATTTCCTGGGTGACTGCCGTTTTTGGTGTACACACCCTGGAATCGTCGCTAAGACTCACCCGTCCACGTTTGAATTCTCCATACCAACGGGAAATTGCCGACTGCTGTGGTGCTTCGTTGCCGAAAACAGATAGTAACTCGGCAAGGCATTCTTGTTACGATAATTGTCTCTGAAAGTTGTAATAAATTATGGCGCGAAAATGTTCTCGGTTGAGTTCCATTTTTCTAATGACTTGGTGACACTTAAAAATTCACTGTAGTGAGAACACTGCACGTATTGTTGTGAAACTTTGAATTTAAGTTTACTAAAGAGTGAGGTCAAGATTCAGTACTGACGTTCGATCCGCGCAGCCTACTATGTTTCTATATGCAAAATTTAAAAGACATCCCTCGTACTTCCAACATGACGGCGCACCTGCGCATTATCATAATCGTATGCGTAACTATTTGGACACCTGGAGTAACAATCGTTGGATCGGTCATGATGGGCTGATATCTTGGCCTCATAGATCTCCAGATATGACACCGATGGACTTTTTTTTATGAGGCTACATTAAGCAAGAGGTTTATAGATATCCACCATCTGCCCCGGAAAATATTAAGGAAAGGATTAAGGATGCCTTTCTGAACATAAGGGAACACATGCTGAGGGATGTGCAACGGTCTTTATCCAAAGACCATGGCTGTGTATTCAACATGGTGGAGATACGAGCAGTTTTTGTAGATTAGGTCTTGAGTAGTGATAGTTGTTGTTTGTTTATGTTGTTGTTATAGTTGTTTTTATCTATTACGCTTGAAGCTGATTTATACTGTTCTTATTGTTATTAGTTTTTGCGTCAAATCTGTACTCTTAGTGGCAATATGGAACTAGCCCAAAGTTTGTTATTGGTTTCCATGGATGATGTGACTTTTTTCCTTAATTTTGGTGTGTTGGTCTATTACAAGCTTAATAACTCAAGATCTAGTGATTTCATCTGAATCAAATCTTATACCAAAAAAAAGCTTATAAAAACAATTGAATCCAAACTTGCACAAATATACAGGGTGATGCATTTGAAACTATTGAGAAAAAGTAGAATTCGCGTTTTTCACCTCTGAGCAAAAATGAAAATTCAAAAAAGTAACAAATAATATGAAAGCTGAGGGGTGTAAGTTTTTTTTTTTGATACAAAATTCAGCACTCTAAATTTCAAAATGGCGGATTGAGGGGCTGCCGAAGTGGACGATTTTTCTGGACAAAACACCTTACATCTCAGTAGCTAATTACCAAAACCCCATAGTATGTTATATCAATCTTCTTCTCTTGAATTGGTTTATCCAAATATGCAATCAAATTTGAGGCATTCCATTAAAAAAAAATCACAACTTTGATATGTAGGTCAAAATTGGGACACCCTGTATAATTGCCAATATTTTAGAAATGTTCCCTCAAATGTCATATATAACATTCCCAAAATGTATTTGTTTATGAGTAATATTCCGTCCACACATGGATGGAGGCAAATACAGCCTAATACGCTGCCACGACGTGTACAATTTAGTCAGCCATTCTGTCCCCATTCTGTACCTCATCTGATGACAAATTCAGGCAAGCATATATGTCCACACATTGCACACAATTTTACAAGATATAGCCGGGATAGATAGCCAATATATTCATGATGGCTGTGATATGATTGCCTTAGATATAGCGAAATATTGTAACAAAAATATTGCTCGTTTTGAGATTCCCTAATAAATGAAAATGCCTTCAACATTCTTATAGCTGTAGTTTAAAAAATATTATTGGCATACCTGTCGTGCTCCTTTTCTACCAGATGGTACCTGGCCCTGAATGCGACCAGATGGGCATAATAAGCGGGCGCCGGTATCGAGACGGACCGCGTACACCGCACGTACGTGTGGCACAGCTGGTAGGTCAGGCACTGCAGCTCGTCGGAATCAAGATGGGAGTCATCCCATAGAACGTGGTAATGTGACGGACGGGAAGTACCCTGAAACGGACGAAACAATTGTTAGTTATTTATGTATTGTATTTATAAAGTGTTCTTTCTAATAATACGTACGGCAACAATTTAAGGAGCCATTCTTTAGACTATATCAAAGGTGGATGTCACACGATCAGTATGTACTTGTATGTAATGTCGGCGTACTATCAGTATTTACTGATGATTCCGCCAATTTCAGTGGATTTATACGTAACTTCATACTCGTACAACAATAAATACTGGCATCCAGGCTATATGGTCAGCAAATGTCACATTCCATGGTAAATACTGACGGACCACACAAAAAGCCATTGAAGATGGGTTTTGACAACATTTTCACAATTGCGAGCTTAAAGTTTTTACGAGTTTTTTGGAACGAGAAAGCTATTTTAATATGAAAGTTGACCCAGGAGGGTTCAAAGAGGAAGCAGTAACACTGATAATGAGGAAGGAGCTGAGTGGCGGCGAATCCCGTTCAAAAACTGAAAGCATGGGCCTATTAACGCAGATGTCATCGGAGCAGAAAACCAACGAGAAACTGATGATGATTATAGACGACCAGGCGAGGCAAATCCGAGAACTTATGCAGACAATCAAGGACCAGACGGCTAAAATTGACAGCCTGACCGCCCAGGTAACTTTTTTAGTAAGTTCGAAAGAATCCCCCAAAGAACGGACCAACAGCCTAAACAGACCGCTACGGACCATTACCGACGATCAATATACATCCACACGCGATGACACACACACCGGCGGATTTAAAAACGCAAAATCCAGAAGGAGGAGAAGAAACAAAACTGACTGACGAGCCGAGGACTTTCCACCTCTTCCAAATACCGAATCCACTCTTTTACGCACCTCCCCCGCTTCATCAAAACAAAATATCAGTAACACTATGTCTACTACCAAACTTTTTTGTCATCGGTTGGCGGAGGGACTACACTATCTACCTCTAAGGTCACTTCGTCGGCCAATGTCACTTCTCCTCAGCCATCTTGCTCAGCCGACGTGGCATCAAGCCAACCTTCACGCCAAAGGCGCGTAACGCCTATTGTTCTGCGTGATGGGGCGAGGTGGCGTACGTTAAACTGCAAATTAATTTCCCTAGGCATTAAAATAGATCGCGCGGTTGCTGTCGACGCGGAAATAAGGATTTTTCCTAAATCTGAGGAAGACTATTGTAAGATCGTTCGAATGTTCCGAGAGGAAGAAGTGCCCCATCACACTTTTCCTTTCCCTTCGGAACGGAACATCCACACGGTGGTTCGAGGAGTTCCCGTCAACTTTTCGGATTCTGAGATTAAGGAAGAACTTGAACAGAGGGGATATAGCCCTCTCCATATTATTCGATTGAGGCGCAGTGGCGGCGCGCCCATGCCTTTTGTGGTCGTGATACTGCCCAAGAGTGAACAGTCCCAGCAAGTATTCAATGAACACGAACTGCTGGGACTGGTCATTCGAGTTGAGGTTCAGAAGAACTCCAGACCCATTGGCAGAGCCACCGCTGCCAAAAGTACGGGAATGCGCAGTCATACTGCACTGCACCACCCAAATGCCTAAAATGTGCAAATGACAACATGACGCATTTGTGCCTCCTCACAGGACAGGAAGAGCGCCGGTGTGCAAACTGTGGAGAAGACCATCCCGCAAACAGCCCGACTTGCAAGGAGGAATTTGCAAGTTATAGCGCAAAGGCGCAACCTGTCATACGCGGATGCAGCTAGGGAAGCAATGTTGTCTGCCACCTCTGCCCAACCTCCCTTGAACGCGCAAAATGTGGACGTGGCAACCACGCTAAGGTCCTTACAACAAATAATAAGTCCATTGATTAGCTCTACTCAAGCTTTGCAGGCGATCTTTCCTGTAAATGGCTAGGTACAATAGTAGACAGCCTGTATTTCTCAAAATTCTTTTTTGGAATAGTTTGGGCCTAAGGGTCATTCCCAAAAAATGGGAACTTCATCAAGCTCTTTTGGATGACGGTATAGATGTAACCTTGCTGCAGGAAACGTTGCTTAATCCGGGAGATCGTCTAGCTCTCCCGAATTACGAAGTTAACCGTGCTGACAGATTGAATGGTCGAGGTGGCGGTTTAGCAGTGCTGATTAAACGCGGTATTGACTATTATAGAGGCACGAATGCAGAGATACATAGCATCGAAGCAGCTTCTGTTGTGGTCAATTTGGCGGGAGGTGTCCGGTGAAGATCACATCGGTGTATGTCAGGTGTGGTGCCAGGCTACAAGAGGCGGATCTGGAAGTCCTTATGGACTACTCGGGTCCACTTATTGTGACAGAAAAGACTTCAACTGCAAACATCGATCATGGAATTCCAGATTGAATTCCACGAGTAGGATTCGACTGTACAACCATGTGATACGAAATGGGTACCTTATACATAGCACTGAAGAGCCGACATACCATCCGTTCAACCATCTTCAGGCACCAGATGTCATTGACTTCGCGACATCTAAAAACTGTAGATACTGTATCTCTTCTCGAACCTTGTATGATATCTCTAGTAATCAACTACCTGTTGTCTTGGATGTAGGCAATGAGCAAACTTCTGAGTAGGATGCTCCTCCAAGAAAACGTATTGACTGGCTATACAAGTTGTTCCTTAGAGAGTTTCCCAATATCCCGATCATAGATGATGAGACTGGAATAGATGCCGCTCAAGCGGAGTGGACAAGTTTCATTCAAGCAACTATGCAGCGTGCAGCTGTACTTCCTGTACAACTACACGGCAGACCTTTTTTGCCTGCGGACATTCGTCAGAAAATCTCTGACAAGAGAGCCGCTATTAAGCAGTCAAAAAGATCTTGCCATTCTGATGACATTCGTAGGGCTACGAATCTTGTCCATGAAGTGAGAAACGCGCTCCATGAATTCCGTAATGAGCATTGGAGCGACTTTCTGGTGGGAATACTTGATTCAAGTATTCCTCTCTGGAGGGTCACAAAGTCACTCAAAAACGGAAAGCGAGAACAACTCCCGCACATCCACGGTCCTGAAGGCATACTCGTAGTCTTCAAAACAGAGGATAAGGATGAGGTTTTCGCTGACGCCATGGAAAAACAGTTCTCTCCCAACTATGATCTTGATAATAACCTCGACGAGAAACAACACATTGTAAGATCCGTCAGAAGATATTTTAGGGCCAACGGCGTTAGCGGAGGCACTGTATCCTCTCCAGATTACTCTTCTTCAGATGATTCGTCTGAGGCTCCACATAGCACATTAGAGGACCCCTCCGAGGTTCCACATTGCACTCCAGTGGAGCTCCTACGTCTTATTAAAGATCTCAAGGTGCGTAAAGCACCTGGGGAGGATCAAATCACCAACAAGGCGCTGAAGCTGCTCTCGCCGAAAGCTCTGACATATTTAATGACAATAATCAATGCGAAGCTCAGAACCCAGCACTTCCCTGCGGGGTGGAAGACTGCTGAGGTCATCGTGATTCCAAAGAAGGTGGGTTCGATATTTCCTCAGGATTACCGTCCCATTAGTCTGCTATCAGCTCCTTCTAAGCTCGCCGAAAAGGTGATTTATCGCCATCTTGAGAATTTTTCCTCCAATCACCACGTGATTCCTGACGTTCAACTCGGTTTTCGGTCCGAGCATAGCACCGAGCTACAGACAGTCAGGCTGGTGGAACATGTGACCAGAGGGTTCACCCTCAGCATGAGTTCTGGCATCTTGCTTTTGGATGTCTCAAAAGCATTTGACAAGGTGTGGCACGCGGGACTCCTTTATAAACTAATCCAAAAGGGTTTTCCTTTTTGGCTTCTAAAATTACTCAAATCCTTTCTTGAAGGAAGGTTTTGTCAACAACACGGCCAGTACGGGCCGGTGTTCCTCAGGGTTCGGTCCTAGGACCAATCCTTTATTCGCTTTTTATCCATGATGTCCCTTGCCCCCGCTACTCTGAAGTCTACCTCTATGCTGACGACACGGCACTTGTCGCCCAGTCGTGTACTGGTGATCTGGTTCACGATGGGTTGCAGAGTGCGATGAAAGAAGTAATAGAGTGGGCGGAACGGTGGCTGATTAAAATTAATCATTCGAAAACGCAGGGCTATTTATTGTACCAAAAAACGTCACGGCCCCCCAGCAGAGGTTTCTGTAGACGGAAATCGGGTACCATGGACAAATTCTGCCAAGTACCTCGGTGTCACCCTTGATAAAGGCATGACCTGGCAGAAACATACAGCAGCCTTGAAAACAAAATTCCAAATTGCGTTTCGGCAACTATATCCTTTGTTATGTAGATCCTCCAAATTGAGTTTGATAAACAAAGTTCGACTATATAAAATGATTATTAGACCAGCCATTACTTATGCATGTGCGGCTTGGTGTTTTCTTGCCAAGACACACATGCAAACTCTACAAGTACGGCAAAGTCTAACTTTGCGAACAATTTGCAACGCTCCATGGTATGTCTCAAACGTGAGACTACATTCCTTACTTGAGGGATTATGTCAAGCTTCAGGCGCAGCGACGTTATAGTCAAGCGGAATTCCACAGCAACCCTCTGTTACACGACTCAGTGGACTACACACTGGAGCAAGTTCGTAAACATTCAAGGCCACGGTTCGCACTGTAATAAAAAATTAGCGCGAACTTTTAGTAAACTTAAAATTACACTCTAACATAACCGAATCAAAATTTGTTTAGTTCACCTCAAAATTAATCCGTGTACCAAGTCAAAAAGCCTAGGTGTTTCCTCTTAAACTAAACACTTGTTTTTCTTTGCTCTTCTCGTTTTTTCTTCTCTTTCCCTTTCTCCTTTTCCTTGACAGTGTCTGGTTTCTGGGCAACCAGGTCTGACAGATTCGACGTACTTACATTAGACAGTGACTAATGGGCAAAGGTCCTATGGACCGCCCAGACAAACAAATGACGAATAGTATAAATACTGACGGACCACAGTAAATACTGATCGTGTGGCGTTTGCCTAAGACGTTTTTTGAAGATTTTCGAATCGCTTCGTTTCGAAGATAAAAGGCAATTTTTGTTAGTTTCCCCTTTTCCCAAACTAAAATCATATGTGAAGCCTCTCTGATCTAATACAGAAACTGTTCAAAGTTACCAAATACGGATGTAGATTCCAATCGATCGCCGAAATCTGTCAATTATACTCTGGTCGTTTCCTATTGATCTCGATCCAGCAAAAGTGGAACGATTTTTTGTGTAAACCTAAATACTTTGAACAAGTCACCGAGGTGGCCGAAACGTTTCGCCTCAACATCTGCTGTTTATTTGGCGGCCAGCTATTGAGATTGTTCAGCGAGACTACCACAAGATAAGTTTCAGATGTTAGTGTGTTTGAAAGAGACAGACAGTTTAAGAGATTGTAGTTGTTTATTTCATGAGGAGGAACCTTGTTATTTTGAACAGTTATGCTTGGAAAATTAAAGGGTGTTAGTGCCCAGTTATTTACATTTTTTGGAAGATCAAGAAGCTGCATATTTAATTATTAACACACACAACCACAGTTGCTTAATTTTTATTCATAAGGGGTATTGAATAGCTCAACAACGTACTATTTTTAAAAAATGTACTTTTATAACCACCTTGCATTGTTATTAATCACACTCACCTGTATTCCTTGGTGGCTGCACAAATAGAAATCGAACTCTGTGGGATGGGTGATGCCGACGTCGACAGTAGTGCCTGCGGGTATGTTGCCGCTCTTACCGCTCTGTTCCTTTTTATCGGAGCAAAAGAGGCGCGTGTGATGCCGTTTCTGCACAACAATGAATGTGATGCCAGGCTTATAGTCTGCTTCCAGCTTGATGCACGCCTCTCGGATCGCCGTCAGTTCGTGCTGCAGCAGTTGGAGGAATTGGCCTTCGGAGACGCCGTCGCGGTACAGGATGATCCGGTGAGGTTTGTAGCCACCTGTCAAAGAAAAATGGGGTCAAATAGGTCAAATCTGCACTTCCCAAGCAGCGCTACTATCAGTTCATAAAGGATTATGTTCAGCACAAAAGGATCATGTTCGGAACAAGTTAGCCGCTATGAGAAAAAAGTTAGTTTGTATGAGAAAAAAATTGAATGGATCAAGTTAGTCAAACAGACCTATACAATTAGTAATAATAATAAAAATAATAATAGTCGTCTTTATTTAGAAAGAAACTAAATGATTCGCGAAGTTTAGCATTCGCTACACTTACATTTAACCAATCAGTTAGCGACTGGTAACTCAATATTATGTCAAAGAAAAAATAGACAAGAAGAAGATCGGTAAATAAGTAAATCAAACATTACAATAAATCATATATAAAGGAATAGTAAAATTAAAGAATATCTCTTATACAGTTCAGGTACTGAGTTATACCTGGTACCCAAGTTATACGAGAAACTTCGTTTAAATGATGTGTTGTGTGGTAGAACTCATAATTTTATGTTCTTGTGCGCACATCCTTACTAAAAACAATCTTTTCTTTGGAGTATAAGGGCTTTGACGAGTGCAACAATTTATGTATGAAAATTAATTTGTGGTAATTTACTAAATTCTCCAATTTCGTCCACTTCAGTATTCGGCAATTGGCTGAAACATGCTCAAATTTTCGTAATTCAAAATTGGCCCGTTCACAATTATTTTGAATGACTAGGATAATGTTTTTGGTAAAGCAATCTAAATACGAAAAATAGACTATGTCACAGTAATTTGGGACAGATATTACTAAATTCTTGCATAGTTTAAGTTTAAAATTCAGTGAATATCGATTTGCAATAAGAGTATGTAACCTGAGATACATTTTTTGGGACACACTCTTTACATGTTCAACAAATCTCATTTTAGTGTCAAAAACTACTCCAAGTATTTTTGCAGACTCAGTAATCTCTAAAACTTGATTATGGAAATATTTATTCTGGATTTATTTTCAGATTGTGATTAGAAGAATATTGCATCAAATTGTTAACATCCCTTTGTGAAATGTTTGTTGTACTTGCTACCTCATTTTGATTAAAACTATGCATTAACCGAGTATCATTTGCGAATGATCAAATAAGGGAATTATCAATAGTTTATTTGATTCGATGATGGCAGTGTCGGCTGCATAAAGTATAAGAAAACAACTTGGTGAAGGCTGTTGAACATTGTTCACAGAAAATTGCTGTATAACTAAATTATTTAGACCAACCACTTCGAACAGTGGTAAACATGTAGGTCGCGTTGTAAATATGAAATTACTGTTTAAATCAAGACCTACCTGTCGATTTGTAGAACATGATGAGCAGCTCCCTGACCATAGAACTAAGTTCTTGAATGATCTCCTGTCGGTGCTGTTGGACTCTGACTGTGGCTGCATACCTCGATGGATGTGCGTCCATTGAGCCCACTACGGCCGCGATCGAAGGCTTTTTGTTGTCTCCAGCAGGCGGATGGGTCACGTCGGCGCCCAGGAAGATCACAGGTTCGTTGAATATCTGCAACGAGAATAATGTTGTTCAATAACTACTAACATAGAAACCGATTTGAACATACAAGCTACAGATAATATTTCCAAAGCTGGACCACTGTATGTATACCAAGCTTGCACATTTTAAATATGTGTTGCACAGATAAACGTTGGGTCAGCTTGTTTTCTGAGTGATAGCAAAAAAACAGGTATGAACAAAACAAGACAGTTCGCGGAATATATTTGAACTTTACAGCTGTCCTCCAATGATCTCGTCCCTTTAAACCCACGTGACTCCGCGTTTTCAATGTCCACGAGGAGTCAATTCATATGGGAGAATGGGAAACATCGCGGTGTTGGTGGACCACAATCTCGCAACACTGCCACATCCACCACAAAAAATGGTAGCTGTTATAAGTAAGAGGGTTCAATGCTGTCATATTTAAAAGTCCCGCCGAAAACCGAAGGTAACCTCTCTTTTATTTGTCTGCATTTCTAGATGGCGTCTAAGGTAGGTTTCTCGTAACCACAAATTTTATTAAAATCGTTCTTATTTAAACTACATTTTTTGTTGAGTTGGTGAACTTTGGAATTTGGAGTATAACACCTAACATATTGGTAAAAATGTATAAGAGAACAACTCATTTTCTTCTAGGTGAGTGTAATCAACAAACGAGCATCCTGATCCCTTGAAAAGCGCTTTAGAGATAGAATTATATATTGGAAGGATGTATTTGTTAAGACATTACAGCTATTGAGAATTTCTACTTGATTCAACAGTCACATGTGGAGTGCTATGAAACATTCATGAAGCAGAGTTAAAGGCATTTCATTCCACTGCCAATGCATGGTGATCAGAGATAGATAGACTATAGATTACCTGTAACTGTTATTCTCTCCAGGGCGTATATCTGGACATTTGTGAGCTTCAAGATCATGGCTAGTAAGTTTATGTCAAATTGAATGATTTGCAGAACTCTTAGAGATAAAAATATATTCTCAAATATAGACCTTTTTACTGTTTCCAAAATTTCAAATAACTGTAGGGTGATTTTATAATAGAATATAAATTATAATAATTATGTGTTATTGACGCTGCTATTTTAACAGGGCAGTGACTACTTATTTGTCAAAACAGCAAAAAATATTAATACATGGCGTTATAAAATCTTCCAAGTATCTTTAAAATCATACAAGTCTCAGATTTATGCAAAGAGCCGGCAATGTCGTTCGTGTACAGTCTGATATCCAGAAGAAAATGACGCTTGACACTGACATAAATCAACTGTGTTGCCCTATGGAGAGCACAGACTCTACCTTCTTCAGTGTTTATGTTTTGTGTTACACCAAAAAACTGAAGCTCTAAAATTAGCATATAAAACGTGTGCAATTGGCAATTCTTGCAGATTTTGTTCTGAATATCTCATAAATTGAACCTAATAAGACTACATGTTAATCCAGAGCAAAAAATCGAGTCCACCTTAATCTAGCAAACATTTGTTATGCCCATTACACAATATAAATAAAACAAAAAGAATTATCAGAGGAATGTGCTTTATTCTGCTCATAACATTTGAACAAATACTAACAAACATCTTACCTTTGGTCTAATAGATGGCACTAGAATGCTGTTGATTCCTCCCAGCTTAACATTAATTTTCAGACATAAATTTGACAGTGTTTGTGGTGAAGTCTTATTTACATTCTTCGCTTGAACACATTGTGTGGCCATACCCAAAACTGTGTCTCCAACTCGTTTAACCTCAGCTGGAATTTAGCAAAAAAAACATATATTGTACCTTGGTAGTTTACACTATGAGAATGAGCTAAAAAACTAATATTATAGATATGGCATAACAGAGTCATCCTGAATGGAAAATCAACGAAGTTAGATTATTTTTGAATATACGCAGCATGAAATATTCCACAGATTAAAGGTACAAATACAGTACGGACAAAAGTTTGGAAAGATTCGTAGTAATATTTAAAAAGAGTGCTATTTTTTTATTATTCTTTATTATTACGGATTATTTTTTTCTCATATAGTTTGCTTACAGTCTTGAGGATACAAATAAATGACAATTTGTGTTTGCTGTGGTACTACAGACTAGCATTAAAATACCTTCATATTATTTTATGACCGAAAATGAGACGACAAAAGTATGGAAACATATTTTCTATTACAAAATTAAATATGATAACTCTACAAAAAGATTTAAAAAATACTGTTTAGCTAATATTTGGTAGCATAGCCTTTATCGTTCAACGCTGCCTGATATCTGCTGTTGAGATATTTGGCCAAATATTTTGTACATAATCAAATAAATCGTTCCTGTTTTTAAAAGTTTTTATCAGTTGTCTTTTCACATGCTTCCAGAGATGTTCTATAGCGTTTAGGTCAGGGGTTTGAGAAGGCCATATAAGAACATTAACATATTTTTGGTCTTAACCAGTGCTTTACGAATTTTGAGGTATGCTTGGGGTCATTATCTTGCTGCAATGTCCATCGTAAAGGCATTTCTCGTTCAGCAAAAGGGAGCATGTGTTCTCTAAAAATATCTTTGTAAAGTTTTTGATCTATGTTCCCAACAATTTTAACAATTGGACCCATTCCAAAACTAGAAAAACAGTCCCAAACCATGATGTTGCCTCCACCGTGCTTAACTGTTGGCTACTGATACTATTTGTCGAATCTTTTTCTTATTGGACGTCTCATAGAGTCGAAATCACGAAAGATGACTCTTACGTCATACCATAAATTGTACAGAAGTAATCAATGGACGTACGTCGATGATAAAATCACGAATCAGAAACATAATGACAACAAATTTATATTATGATTTTGCGAAGTTAGGTTATTTCATTGATTATTTTTATTTTCATTTTATTTCACGGTTTTGAGTGATACCTTAATAATATTTTTAGTGAGGAGTTTTTGTTTTGGAAAAAAAAGTTATGAGTAGAATACCTTAAGACAGGAACACCAAAGACCAACGTATTATTCGAAAACAACATAACCTGCTTCAACATAACCTAACTATTCATCTGTCAAATATGATCGATCATGCAACATGAAAACATCATCTATCTTTGTCAGAGAAATGCAAATTAGCAATACAGTTAGTTTGTTTAGACAATAAAATTATGTTTGTCTCTGTCTAACATATCAGGAACTTCATTAAATATATTCACTAATCGCTGTCTTTTGTCTTTACTTCAGACAAAAATGATGACGTAATCGTCACCTTTCGTGATTTCGACTATATACCTATGCCGTATCGTCAGATCCCAACAAGTTGAATTTGCTTTCATCGCTCCATAAAACTGTATTCCATTGTTGCTCTGCACCTTGTTCAATTTTAATCCTCGAGACAACATTTCTGATACCACTTCTAAATAATTCAATTACTCTGTATTTTAAATCTTTTGAAAATTATGTTACTTTTGTCATTCTCACTGATGTTAATATTTACCGCACGCAATATCAGAGTATCGCAGAACGAATAAAAACGGCAAAACTGAAATGTTTCCATACTTTTGTCGTTACAAAAACTTTGGTATTTAAAAAAATGTTTTTATTTTCAGAGAATTTGAATATTGATCAGATAAACCTTGTATTAGTAGCTTATCTGCAATTACATATAGGTCTTTTCAGGATTTTTGGTGATGGATACATATGCAATCAGCCTCTATGCGCGGACGTTTGCAGGTGTAAGCTCAGATACATTTTTTTTGTTTTGTCTAAAAGCCTTCTGAAATTCTCCCGTCAATGTATGAGTCTTCCATATTTATGCTTGTCACTGTCATGACCGTGCGAATTGCTTGAAGATACTACTGTAATATTGACAGTCTGTGTTAAGTTTATTGAAGTATTTTGGGAAAGTGAGAGCAAATAGCAGTTGCATCAAATATCGGCTTGCACAATGTGTAGTTTCCCTTAGGGAAGTCAGCTCCACACATAGTACAATCTGTTTACTTATTTCATATGGCATTGATGATGTAACCTCCAAAAATGGCGAAAAGAATTATATATGCGCATATCTCATAAATTGTTGACATGTTAAAGGAAAATCGAGATTTTGCCTTAACATGCTTGGTTATAGCATGGCAGACATTCAAAGTAGCTTATGATCTTAAAAGCTTATACTTGCTCATTTCTTGTTACAGTGGACCCTCGATAATCCGGCCCCTGTCTAATCCGGCGCCCCCTGTAATCCGACATGTCTTTGAATATGTATTACATATACTAAGTGACATATGAATCCGAACACCCAGTTTAAATGGTTTTATTTTAACAAAATTTTGTATAAGTACTTAATGAAGCATAATAAGTAAATGATAAAAATTTCAAATTGATTGCACTGCTTTAAAGCCCTTTGACCTTTAATAATGTGTGGATGCACCCTGATGTGCTACGCATTCTCCAACGCGCCTAGGCATGTTTCTGATCAGGTGGTCAATGTCCTCCTGTGGTATCTCATTCCAGGCAACCACCAACTCCTCTCGAAGTGCTTCTAGAGTCTGAGGAGGACGTTGCAAATTGAGCAATCTCCTACCCATCATATCCCACACGTGCTCAATTGGGGATAAGTCGGGAGATCTTGGTGGCCATGGTAACAATGTGACATCATTATGTTGAAAGAAGTCTATTGTGATTCTTGCAACATGTGGTCGGGCATTATCTTGTTGGAAAGTTGGATCTGCCAGGGTGTCAAGATAGAGTAAAAGATGGGGTTCTAGACCTTCGTGGATATAACGCTGCGCGTTCATGTTACCTCTGATGAAGGTCAAAGGTGACCTGGAACCATAAGCTATAGCACCCCAAACCATAACTCCAACAGTGTGATGAACATGTCCTTCAACAAAAAACTGTGGATTCCTCCTTTCACCACGTCGCCTTCTAACCCTGGCACGACCATCGTGCATGCCTAAACAAAATCGAGACTCGTCACTAAAGACAATACTGTTCCATTCCTGATCCCAGAGTGACCGTTGTCTGCACCACTCAAGGCGATTACGTCGGTGTTCTTGAGTTAAAGGGAGGACCCAGTGTGGCCGGTATGAAAACAAGCCAAAACTTTTCATTCGTCGGTAAACACTTCGCATGCCAATACCTGGTAGTGGAGAAACGGTCCCTTAAGGCCAATAATCTTAGGCGGCCATCTTCACAGTCTGTTGTTCTACGGCGGCGTCCAGTGCCACTTGCTCTTTGCGTACGGCCTTCTCGAAGCCATGCCTGACAACACCTAACCACAGTGTCTACACTTCTTTGCACTCTAACTGCAATTGCCCGAAAAGAAAGTCCAGCTTCCTGAAGTCGCACTATACGGCCCCTATCAAACTCACTAAGTTGACGAAATCGTACAGGTCTCCGTACTCTAGGCATCGTAACCGATCGTAAAGGATGTCAAGAACCAAAATCCGCCAACGTTGATTCTTTACTGCGGCTGAAATATTTATTTTTAGAGCGTTAGTGAATTAAAAAAAAGCAGTATAAAAACCGGAATGTCCAACTGATAAGGCTGAACATTTTTTCACTTGTTATTTACAGTAAAATAAATACATTCACCAACTTTTATTAAAATGAAACCATTTAAACTGGGTGTTCGGATTTATATGTCACTTAGTATACATACGTATTTGATAATCTTCGCTGATGTAGATCACGCAGGTTTGAACAGGTTACAACTTGTAGCATTGTTTTACTTAGTTTGAATTTGACTACTGGTGATAGCGGTACGGCCTAGCGTGCGTTCATTGTTTACTATTTATTCATTGTGTATTAAGTATAGTACCTAGTAATGTCATCACAAACTCAGAAACGAAAGCACAAAACATTGACAATTAAAGAAAAATGTGATATTTTAGACCGCTTAAATCGCAATGAAACTTTCAGTAGTTTAGCAAGTGAATACGGCGTAGGCTGATCTACAATTTATGACATTAAAAGAAACCACGAGAAGATCAAGAAGATCGTGTCAACTACTGATTGCGGGCCAGGCAAGAGACAGACACTCAAGAAAGCTGAACATCCAGAAGTGGAAGAAGCTTTGTACATGTGGTTTCTTCAGGAAAGAAATAGGCCTGCACCAATTTCAGGACCCATGTTGGCCATGAAAGCTAGGTTTTTTTATAAGGAAATAACAAAAAAAGATGATTTTGTGGCCAGCAAAGGATGGCTAGAACGTTTTAAAAGTCGTCATGGCATACGTTTAATGATTACAGGAGAGAAACTTTCTAACGATGCCACCTGCATAGAGACCTTTAAATTAAGATTTTTGCAAAAGGTGAACGATTTAAATCTTGACCCGTCACAGGTGTACAATGCAGACGAATCAGGGCTTTTTTGGCGTGTGATGCCTAACAAAACTTTCGTCTCTTGTAACGAAAAATCCGTACCTGGACGGAAAGTAAGTAAAGAGCGTGTAACCATAGTAAAATGTGCTAACGCTGCGGTCACACACGCGCTTAAAATGATGGTCATTGGGAAATCTAATAAACCACGGGCATTCAAAAAAATTGATGTACCTGTACACTATTACGGACAAAAAAGTGCATGGATGACAAAAGATCTTTTCAAAAGCGGTTTGATGAATGCTTCGTACCTGAAGTTAGAAAATGGTTGGTCATAATTTTCATCAAAAAGCGTTGTTGCTTCTTGATAACGCTCCCTGTCATCCGTCTGAAGAAGAACTAACAACTGAGGATAAATGCATCACTGCGACGTTTCTGCCGCCAAATTGCACTGCACTGATTCAACCAATGGACCAGAATATCATTCAGTTTGTCAAGCAAGACTATAAGAAAAACCTACTTCTGAGAGCCGTATCAAAAGACCAACCAATAGAAAAAACTTTAAAAGAATTTAATATGAAAGACTTGGTTTTTGCTCTTTGTCAGTCGTGGAATGCGTTACCGTCATCAACTATTAAATCGTCTTGGAAAAAGTTATGGCCAGATATAATCACCACTCCCAGCAACGTTCCACAAATCAGTGTAACTTCGGAAGTTATAGAACAAGTCGCTACTGAAATACAGATAAGTCCGGAAGATTTGGAAATCTGGTGCCGTGGAATGGATAAAGAGGAAAATGTTTTTCATGAAATGTCTGACGAAGAGATTATAAAAGAGGTTTCTAATTATACAACAAACAATCAGGAAAATAACGACGACGTGATTGCAACTGCTCCACAAGTCACAGCACAAGACGCAATTAACGCCTTTGAGCTAGGTTTACAATGGGCTGAAGAGAATGGTACATCCTACAACGATCTTTTACTTTTGAGAAGACTGAGGGACAACGCTCTGATCTCGCGTTATAACAACCTTAAACAAAAAAAAATTGATAAATATTTCCAAGCTTCATAATTTGATAAATTCATTAATGATTTTGATCAATAATTCTTGATTATTTTGGTACATATATATGTGCATTTATGCTTAATTTTATAATAAAACGTAAGCTCTCTATTGTTATTTAATTTACTAAATTCGACATACATAAACTATGTATGATTTGTACTTCAAAGTACATACATATACATAACATATACATGTATGTATACATAATCTTACCATTGGATATGTAATTTGTCGGATTACAAGGTACTCTTTTGTAAAAAAATTCCAGACTATAGGGGGTCTTAGGCAGTGCTCTATAATTCGCCAAATTGGATAGTCCGACACTGCCCTGCATAATGTTTGTCGGATTACCGGAGGTCCACTGTATATAAATATATAGTTTCTTATAATTCAAAAGTTTTAGGAACAGATTTAATTGAAAATACATAATGTATAAATCCTTACCGTATACTGGCGTTTTTCCTGGCAAGACAACTACGACGAGCTGCAATGATTGGAACGTCGATTTCAGATACCTAAACATGGGTTCCACCTGATCTGGACCTGTAGCGTATTTACAAAAGCAAGGTTGGCCGATAATGGGCATACCGGCATCATTTGAGATCTTCTGAAGCTGCTGCGTGAAGTTTCTGTATGAAATAGATAAAACATACACACGTTTCAGTAAAATCTTCATTAGTTCCACAACTAATTCTATTTATTTCAAGACGGTTCAAACGATTATATCTTGTATATCATGGATTCACGAGTGGGATGGGCTTAGGCAATCAAAACAACGGACCTGCAAAGTGGCTTGAGGCTTTGTTTTACAATGTAGGGAGCCTCTTGATAGTATAGAAGCGATACACGTGGTCTCATTTAGGAACCAGATCACGAAGATACGATATAGCGAACATTGTCGGTGTTACTGTGCACAGTTAAAAGCAGAAGCACAATGGAACAATAGAATTTTTTGCCTGTTTCTCAGCAGAAACAACCTCTAAGGTCGTTGCTAGGATTGCGTGTTCCACCACGAAACATCATGAGCATGTTAAAACGATATCAGAAAATCTCTCATGTACGCGCACACACACTTCTGTGCTGTTACGCGGCGCTATGCGTGAGGAACTCAAGCCTATATGCAAATTAGCTAGAAAAGTCTTGAGACATAGCAAGCATAGAGATAGGAGGTTAAACTGTGTAAGAAATGCACATATTCAGATGGTGTGGCTCTTGGAAATCTAGTGGACTTAGAACATTACGTAGAGCATCTGCACATTAAAAAATGTCAACATAACCGACCGCAATCTTTATGGGCAGTTCACTCACGTTTCGACGTGCTTGTAGGTTTATTGCTTGATGCTTTATTTTAATTTTATCCAATATTTCTCTTTGCAACTGGTCCGCACTGTCAAAACTGCGCAGAACCTGAAATTAATTTTCTGCGCAGTGTACACTTATGCACAGCTCTTGGAATCCGTTTGCTGTGCAGTGTGCCAACTCACTTTGTCATGACATTTTGGCTTCTCCGCTCCATGAGTTTAATCTTCATCTCTAGTCTTCATGATATGTATAATTGTATATTACTCTATTTCACGAGAATCTATCACATTTTGACGTCTACTGGCAATAGTTGGCAATCATGAATCGAGTGAAAAACTAGCTCGTAGCGTAGCGTTTTTTTTTTTTTTTTTTTGGAGCAAATGACTTTCCTGAATAAAAGAGTTGCTGGCAAGTACAAAATGAATCTGTGGGGTCTAAAAAACCAAAACAAAATACGACGATGAAGGATCCGCTAGAATTATGTCATTTGTTGATATGGGACTCGTTCAAGCGAGTTTGGTTATAAGATCCGTGACGTCATGAATCAGCTGTTATATGTCATAGTTATCACCGCAAAGTTGTGGTATTTACCCAACTCAGGAGTAGTTTTATATTTCTGGTTATTATTTAAAATGTGACAAGTTAGAATTTTGCCGGGTATTGGATATTTTTGTTGTACTTCAGCTTCATTTTTGGGAAACTTGATACAGGCTGACTTCAGTTGTAGAATAAAGTACTGCACCTTATTAGTTATACTCATTACTGTTGTTGGGAAAACTTTAAATCCAGTTATATGGCCATATAAACTCACTATATAATGTCCAGCTGTATACGGTTTTGCTAATATCTTTTTTCATCGATTTTTCCTATTATTTCTGCTAAATCAATAAATCTTTTATTTGACATGTGGATAAGTTTAGAGAATTAAAAGTTATCATAGCTACAAATCCATGGTTCCATCAGAAATCAGAAATTATATACACGCTTTTCTAAAATAAACAACTTGCAACAAAACCGCGGCTAAATCAACGCGTTCAAGCGATTCGAGTAACTGACGTCATCAACCCGTGTGTCATCTTAAACCATATTATAACCGCGGTACTTAACACAGAAATTTTCGTTATTCGCTTGGATTTGATTTTTGAAATATTACTAAATAATTAGCTGTGATTCTACCGTAATAGATACTCGTGAAAATACAATAGCAAGCGAACATGTCTTGATAGCTCCATTTACGTAAGTAAAGTAAGGTTATGATCAAAGAGAGATTGTGAAAGCTACATGTGCAATAGAAAAATTAAAAACTTGTGTTATAATAAATGCGAACTTCTTACCTGAGGGCATCTTCTCGCACGGTTCTCTGTGGAGCGAAACAAGCGATCGCCCACACTCTTATTTCGACACCAGTGAAGAATTGCTTGCCGCGCATGTCCCAAACTCCTTGATTTGGCATCGCTTGTTGCTTGCTCTGCAACAATCAGACCAACTACTACCACCAATAGACATATTGAACGTGCATTTTGGTGTATATTTGCTTAGAACTCGCGATTTGAGTCCTACGGCAATGACACTTGACAATGTTCGACATTTAAGTGCCTCCTTCTAGCCCCCATTTGGAGAAAGTCACCCATATATCGGACATTATTGAGTGACACCATAGTTTGACACCAATCCGATGCGTAAATGAGCTTTTCCTCATCTCAAATCATTTAGATGATTTCATTCATTCAAACTTGCACACAAAGCTTTAACAGTCGACGCATGATTCATAGTTTAAATAAATTTTACTCTAAATCTATCTAATAGTAACGAGTTTTAATAACTAACAACACCAATAAATAGTGGTATCTTGACTACTTCACAAAACTATTCTGAATTGTGGCATTGTCAGTTCAAACCAACATTGTATTTGAATTTTATATGTTCAAGATGACAAATGACGTAGCGTTAAAATTGGGTATAAAGGAGCACGTCTCTCATATGAAAGTAATTATGCAATATAGATATATAAACAAGGCTAAAAACGTAAACTAAAATAAAAAAGACATATGCATAAAAACATTTGTATTTTGTTTTTGTCAGAGTGAGAATTGACGCCAGGCTGTCCAGATAACCGGCAACCATGTGAAATACACCAACGATTAGTTAGAAAAAATTTGAATTCTAAGCAGACATTTCTCTGTTGATAACTTAGAGGTAACAGAGGTTATCCTCAAAACCTGTAAGTTATAACATAGCTATTTAACTTTCAGGGCCCTAAGCGAAATATTACACGACTTAGTTTAGTAAGAAAAGAGAAATATTTTCTTGTCTAACCTCAAATTGTTTATTTGACCAATTGTTGACATGGTTGCCAGTTATCTAGGCAGTTTATCTGAATAGCAATCCCTAATAGTGATCAGATAGAATTTGGTATTCATCATAACAGTCATTAAACAAATGTCAAACTAACAAGCAAAAACATCTAAATGATTAAATAAAAATAGAGGTAGTGGAGCAAAGTTAACACAGTTATCAGATATTTTCTGCAACGTCAGTCAGTCATAATAAGCAATTAATGCATATCGTACATCGAATAGTTAAGAAAGATAAACTGGATTCATAAATAACTAAATCATTTTGATGTGCAACACCAAAATCACAAAAGCAGGCAATAACCATGCAGCATTCCATTCAAGACTTTCAGATTCAAATACATATCCATTGAAGTTGAAATCTACGATTACTGTGATCAGCTTTTAGCTACCACATATTATCATCACTGAATAGTCAGATTCAGCAAAAATGCTGAAAATACAGCTCAGACAGTTTCACCATGCTCCAAGAAAATAAACATCCTTTTCAATATGTCAAACTTTACATCTCTTTCGCAGGGTCAAGTCAGTAGCTCCTGAGTCATAATGTCAAATTGTAAGTCTGGTAATCCAGAAACCTGACAATTTTAAGAAAAAAAGTGAAGGAAAGGAGAGAAGGAAGAACGAGAGCAAAGGGGAGGAGAATCTTTTAGGACAGGGAGCGTTTAGCCATTGTTAAAATCTCTCGACAGATTGGTCTAAAAATATTTGATTTTTTCCAAGGATTTTGTTAAAATGTTCCAACTTTGGGAAATCCGCTGGGACTGTTGCGTAATGTAGTCAATTAGGTAAGGGACAAGGTCTCTGTAAAGAGTTTCGTGAGAGACATACCATAGGGCGTCAATAATAGTGCGCAGCATCCTGCTTTGCAGAACCTGCAGATTTCGCATGTGTTGTGGCAATAAAATATTAAGCCGCACAAGCATGAAGTCATTGCTGGTGTTATGACCACCTTACAGAGCAAAATTTTATTAATCAAACTTAACTTTGAACGTTTACATAATACTGGGTAAAGCAGTCGAAACATAATTTGGAATGCGCAGGGTTTTAAAGCTTGAGTGCATTAAAATAGAATGCTTTATGTGGAAAACTACCAAATTCTGGCAGGTGTTGACATTTGTCAAACAAGCTTGCGAATACACCCATTTTTTAGCTCTAGCAATTTTCTCAGGAGATGATTCAGAGAGCGACTCTTCTATCAGTGTTTAGGAATAAAGGTAAGAGCACTATGCCTGCTTTCTCAGATTTCTATGACACTATACAAACACATTTTGTGAACTTGTACTCCAGTTACAGAAATTCAATCATTCAAATGTGGTTTTAAAAGAGTATGATCATTATATAGTTACGTACCTACATGTTATAATCACTCGGTTGACTTGAATCATTTAAAATCCAAGATAAAATCTAAAATAAAAAATAATTATTCATCTCAATTTCATGGAGCATGGTTGCATGAGTATCTATCATGATATCTGAACCATATTATCATTATTGAGTGTGTAAGAAAATAGTCTTGATCATAATAATAGATTTCATTTGGGAAATAAATTATATATAATATATTGTTTGGCTTTTCTTAAATTGTTACTAATAAGTAATATTTTATTTTTCCTTTTTTTCACCTTGTTCTTTAGCTATACAAACCCTCAATCAAACCATAAAATTATATACCAGATGACACAAGAAATAGGACCACACTTATGGACGATTTCGCTTTTCCTACTTTTTCATATTCGTTTTTTACTTATTATATTAAACATTGTATACTAAGGATCTAAATTGATATAACTACTTCGATAAAAAGGGAATTTTCCCTCCAATTACAAGAAAACGGAATAAAATAACGCAATTCTGTAAATTCCATATAAAATGCATTCATATTATGTAACTTGCTTCTGATATAACCAATTTGTTATTCAAAATGGTAAAACGTGGCAATACATATCAGCTGATCACCTACTGAAAGTCAAAATATCCTATACTGTCGAATGACAGAAGGGTATCCCATAATTACTAAGGATGTCGATACTTTTGTGTGAATTATTTTGCATAAATTACCAATTAGGACTGTTGAAACTTGGTAAAAATAGCTCTGATATGCTACTAAATGCCAACAGATTATTGCCAAAGGTTCACAATCAATAAGAGAGACTTAATTAGACATCTGAATTGTGTTGAAATTGTATACCATCAGAACTTGTAAACTTCATTGTTCCATGTTTTGATGCCATGATGTTCTTCCATTGAAGACTCATTTTTAATCCTAGGTAATAAAAAAATTAAAAGCGCAAAATCTCGCACAAAGTGTGCGTTGTTCTTTGGCGAAACCTGCAAATCATACGTCAGAAAATCGAGAACTGCAAACAATATACCCGTTTCAAATTGAACCAATCCATGTACAAAACAGTTATAAATGTGGCACCATTTTCTGTGACACTCGGTACACTCGTATATAATAGTAGTACAACAGCAAAGTGGGAAACTAACGTGCCAGCCCACCTGTCCGCTGAGCGAGGCTACCCTGCCTCCGTACTGCAGCTTCGGGGGCGGCAACACTCGCCCTCGCACTTCCATCATGTTGTTGCTGATCGTCAGGCCGAACTCCTGCACGTACTCGTCGTTGTTGAAATCAGCGCGACGCACCAGGTTGTTGATCTCGCGTTCCCGGTCGGGCGCTGATCTAAAGAAGAATATATACTGCTGTTAGTAAAGCAAAAAAAACTGAATCTGAAATTATGAGTTTCAAGGTCATTCCCAAATTAACCCATTGAGGCCAGATCTTAGGTACGGTCCACAGATCCCGATTGCATACCTCGGAACATTTGCTGTAAATAAATCAAGTTGGCAGTGTGTATCCATAGTAATCCGATTTCAATAGTAGCGGTAGCCATATAAAACCACATCCAAATAGTACTGATATCACTCTTCCTAGAAATGGAAATGGCTTTATAATCCGCCAGCCTACTCCAATGACCTTGGGAGTCTTCTGCATTATAGTAAGCAAGCCGATAGCAATTTTTCATCGCGTATGGTATTTTTCACGAGTATCCATTACGGTAGAATAACAGCTAATTATTTAGTAATATTTCCAAATTCCTCATATTGACAAGTAACACAATTCTGAGGGATCCGTCAACGCCAGGTAGACAGATTTGTATTTTTTTGCATGATACAGATTTCTTTTGTACTTGCTAACAGCTATTTTATTTAGAAAATGCTACAAGCAAAATGATTAGAGTTACACCAGGTTCATACTGCCAAGGTGACAGACTAATACAAAGATGTAGCTTTTGTGATCAGCTTTTCACTCCAGTAGACGTTAAAACGTAATGGATACTTATAGAAAATACATTATTGATATAATGGGATAAAACTAGGTGGTACATCTTACATATTGACTTAAGGCCAGGCTGCCTATATAGCTGGCACTCATGTCAAGTAGAACGACGATTAGAAAATTAGCAATTTGAGATTAGAACATTTTTGAACTTCAAGATGACGTTCCTCTTTTGTTTGTTTAAGATTTATTTAGCATGATTGCTACAATTACATTCTTCTAAAAAACTAAACAATTAGATAACATACACATATTTAGAATAAGAAAATTTGCATCTCTAAGAATTTTCATTGTCCATGAAATATTTGTTGCTAAACTAAACCGTGTAAGGCCATACAAGTTAAATAGCTATGTGATAACAGATTAAGACCGAATAATAGGAGGTGCTTAATAAATTCAATGTATAATAAAATCTATGTATAATGGACTGTATGTTTTGTGAAGTTGATTTCTTCTAAATAATTATGACTTATTAATAAATGCACGTAGAACAGAGCAAAACGCGTTACAGAAAGTTCGCACTTGGATTCTTCCTATTTTTCACATTTTCCAAGGCGCGTAGTATATTCAGTACTTAGTATTAGTAGTTTCTTCGTGAAACAAAAAAATACTATTATTGTCCATAAACGATCTTTTAAACCGTGTTCTGACTTCGGCATCCAAGTGCTTGCTGGTGTGGAAAAAAATCGTTTGGACAATAGACAAAATCGAAGAACAGCTGCCAAGTTATACAGGGTGTCCCAGAAGTCGACGTCAAGCCGAAAACGGTGGATAGGCCAAGTCATGATAATTATCAGAAACTTATAAAAGTCTAAGGGCCAATTTCACCAACAACAGTCCGTTATTCTCCACCTATAGGGTGAGATGACATCTTGTCATTGAAACATCATCAGCTTATTGAATATTAAGAAATTACATATAATTCAGTCAAAATTTTAAGAAATGTTTGATTTTTGAATTAAATTCATGTTTTAATTACCATTGTTGATTTTTTAATCATGATAATATTATTTTCTTCAATTGATATGCGATTTTACTGATTCAAGATCATCTACTGGGTGTTTTTTCCTATAAACCTGTTGCAGATAGCCATTAAGCACCTACTTGATGACTGGCAGTTCATAGATATTGCTCGTTTCCAAACATTCATTCATTTACTTGCCGTTCATCAGAACCATTATTTCACCTTACATTGATATTCCCACAAAACCATTCTGTTTTTTTAATATCCATACATCCATAAAGTTGAATGTTTTTCGTTGTTCAGGAATTTAACAAACATGCACACTAAATTCACAGCGATCAACAAATACTCAAACATATGTCGTAAACCTCCCGGCAAACTTAAAACCTGCAGAAAAACTAGAAATTTGCAATAACTTTCTTGTTGCACCGAGTACATATTCTGGGTTATATTTATATTAGACGTTATTTGAATCGCAAAACATATACACTGATTTGAATAACAGCTGATTATCTCCTGATATTTTAAAACTAACCATATCGACAAGTGACACATAATTCTGTGGGATCCGTCAACACTTCGTCCCAGTGGTAGTGGTGTTGGTTATCGTTACTTTCGAGTACTCGTTACTAATCGTTACTCTTCTACAAAGTAATCGTTTATTGTATCCGTTACTTTGATTACTATGAGTAGTACGAGTATAACGATTTGGCAATTAGAGTCGTGTGATTAATGTCGAATTTAAACAAGTTGAATGGAACCGAATCTTGTAAGACAATAGACGACCTTGCAAAATGTTATAAGCATAATTTATTCAAGACTATCATGTTTAATGCAAACATTGTATCTTCAAACTGTATGCTTATGAGTTATCATAGGATGGAGTGTCATATGACTCATATGAGCCTACAAACTGAAAATACTTTGTATTTACTAGAAATACTTAAAAACATGTATTTTAGTCAGAAAGATGATCTGTATATGGGCTTAAGGAAATTCTAAATGGCATGTGACTTTTTGAAGCATTTCAATTAAGCATAATATACCAGTATAAAAAATTCTACGTTGAGCTTGGTCTACACATACTATTGGTGGTCATACTGAATTATAATTTTTTTAGCAAAACAGTGCATGGAAACACGAGTCAAATTGACATAACTTTTATTATTGTGGTTTTCCTGAACCGTGGTGTTACCTTGTTGTCGCTTTTCTGCATCACAATACTGCCGAACTTTGATCCGATGCAATCGACTACTTATTCCTTTTCAGGTTCCCAAGATCACAACAATAAAAGCGAATTTGTGTCACGGTGTAAATAGGTAAACTTCAGATTTAAAAACAATTACCTAATTCTATGTCCGCCAATAAAAAAAATGAGTTTCCAGGTTTCCATCTGAATGTGGGATGTCTGGCAACCCTGGTGCATGAGCGGTAGTGCTACAGTCTAACCAGCGTTACCACTCAACGATCAACGATTGTACAGGTACCGGGTAGGGATACGGGAAACAGAGTAATCAAAGTAATCATTTCTTGCTCGGATTGGTACTCGTTACTTCGGGTATCTATGAGTAACGAGTACTCGAGTTTCGTATGATTACTTTTGCAACACCACTACCCAGTGGAGCAAACTCTGCCAAATGTCGAAATAAACTTTTTAATTCCAAGTCTTATTTTTGTTTTACTGTGCCTGCTTAGATATTCAAATACGGCCAGGAATTATTAGCGCCTGGCTATTTTAGGCCATAACTTCTTATTTTAGATCTCTCCTTATTTTGTTTTTTCCACGCATTCATGGTAGAAAGAAAAATATGTCATCGAATATCGATACCGTATACCGTGCAGCAGGCACGCCCATCACTACTTTGACAGATTGCAGAATGATGTCAAGGTGACAATCGTTATGTGTTTTTGTTTTTGTCTGAAATAGGCAAGTAGGCTTTGTGTATTCATTTTTATTTTTATAGCGTTTCCAGAATTTCATATTTCGAAACGATGTCAAGGGCCGGCAGGGGAAAGTCTTTCTCTATCATCGCCATCCCTATATTGTATCCCCACCAGTCACCAATCAAAAACCTTGACCACCAATATTTTATCACAATTTATAATTCTTTTTAGCTCTGATTTTTCAGTAATTACTAATAATTCTAGGTCTATGTCTACAGTAATTGCATTATGCACCTTGGAGATGTAGGGATTAACATGTTTTACACATATCGGTGTTTCAGGATGGGGACGACCATACTGTTTTGATTGCTTTGAAGAAATTCATTAACCCATGAATTTATAACAAATGAACTATGATGTAAAGAGAGATGAGGAATTGGTTGGAATACATTTTATATTCTATTTTCTTGCAAATCCGCACAATTCAACAGGTATGTGTAGCTATAATGATCTCATAATATACACACAGTATATTGAACTTAACAAATTTCCAGATTGCCATGAATTAACAAACGACCAAACCTGCTGCCAAATTTAACAGCTAGAAAATCCGACCTATTATTTGCCGCATTCCCATTCGCTGAGGGGGATAACGGATTGTTAAATGTAAACCTGTAACATATATCAAAATACATGAAAGTTGTCCTGTTTTTTCTGTACAAAAGCATCATGTTGGAATCAAAAAGTGGTCTTGTTTATAATACAGTCGAATTTTTACGATTTTATTCAACATTTTAATAGAAATCACTGATATTCTGACACCTTTGACAGCTTCCGTCAAATTGCATTTCGATAAGGTATTTTCCTATTGGTCCATAATAATAATGTTGGTGAAATCGGCCCTTAGTCGTGTACTTTTCAAATTATAGGCTTAAAAAAATCGGTAAAATCTACACTCTGGGACGATCTTTTAGTTCCCGTTACTACTAATTTCAATTTTTCTTGGAAGAAGTGACGGTCAGTGTCGTTGTACGTTCTATGTTAATTCATTGTTGTGTAGTGCCACCATGTACCTGTGTACACCATACAGGAATACACAAACCTCATTAATGAGGAATGTAGATGCAATACTAGTGCTGCAGCTAGTCTTTATCGTGAGATGTACCCAAATGCTGCTCGTCATCCCGATCACCGAGTTATTGTGAATGTACATCGTTTACTCTCAAAGGGACGATTTCCAAATCAAGCACATGATGAAGAAGAAGAATTTCCTTTCCTTACGAGGACGTCGTACAGGTGCCCGGTACACTATGCCCGTTCAGTTAGAGAATATCTTGATGCGGAATACCTGAGCAGAATTTCATGGCCAGCCCGCTCACCTGATTTAAATGTATTAGATTTTTTTACTGGAGAGCGGTGAAAAAAAACGTTCACTCAAAGCCAATCAACAATTTAGCTGAGCTAGGGGACAGAACAACGGAACAGGCTGAATTTGTTAGTAACGTCTGATCATTTTTAAGATCTTAAGCTTGCATTCACGAATTAATATGTTTTGTTAAAACTATGTAGAATGACACTGTCCATCACTCCGTCTAAGAAAAATTGAAATTTGTAGTTGTGGGAACTGCAAACATCCGATTTTTTTAAAGTTTATAATTTGAAAAGTATAAGATTTAGATTTTTTTATATTTATCTGATAACTAGTGAACTTGGAATTTGGGAAAATTGTGACAATCGTTCGATACCTGGCAGTCGCCTTGATCATCGTGGACGTTTGCATATCCGTCAACTTCTTAATACAGCGTTGACCAGCGACAATGTTGCAAACTTCCAAAGGCAAGTAGGTGTGCTTGTGTTCCTGTCCTACTTGCAAACACGGCAAGTGGGGGTATCTCAATTTCATTTTGTACTTGTCCAGGAAATATTTAGCTACCGTGCATTCCACTGTTTGGCCATTTTCCAACTGCAACGGAAATCTGGAAGAGAAAAGATTTGATCAACCACTTCAATCACTTCAATGTATGTTACGTTAACAATGAGATGAATGCCCAGTTGAGAAGTTGGACAATGTTGATAAAAAATATGATACAAGAGAGGTGACAACATCATTGAACGGTAAATCAAGTTAATGCCAGAGAAACAGCATGCAACATGCAATATGTGGTTAGGTGGAATTGAGTCGCATAAATAATTTGCCAAGAGTTCTTCATATTAAAATTACTTCACGCAAAAACTACAGACCTTAAGTGACACATACAAGCATATAGGACTCAGTAATAAATTTATAATGGTCTGAAAATGTACATGTCTCCCTGATGATATCAAAAGAAATTTAAAGATACTCCCCCGTGAACTTGAATACTTTTTAATATGTAAACCATATTATACTGTGTGCGTTGTACTTCACTTACTTAAGATCCCCTATGTAATTATGTTATAGTTTAGTTTCAAGTTAGCTCTGTATTAAGAATGATTGTATTATTCAGAAAATAAAGCATATTTATCTATCTATCATAAATTTGAAGTGAAAAAGCAGCTAAATGAGAATGGGAATAATCCTAAACAGATGTATGTGGAAGATACGCACAAAATCCAACAAACATATATCTATGATAAATAATTGTATCACTGTGATTTGACCAAAAATACTGTGCTGTGGTTTAGTAATTACTTTTCTGACATATACCATATCTTGTGTGCAAGTGCGCAATACACTGTCTACTCTACAAACTATCAATTCTTGTGTTCCACAAAAGCGTTTTGAGCCCTATTTAAATACAAACATAATTTTAAGAGGTATCAACATTGAAACTGTTAGAAGCCAAACATTTGGGAATAGTACTGGATGAAAATTCCAGTTTTAAAAGTCATATTATTATGAATAAGATCAAAACATATATATACAAATCACTATGGAGATATAAGTAACAAGTGATATGAAACTAAAACTGGTTAACTCGTTAATTCCCACACATTTAGATTATGATAGTTATGGTAGTTTATCACCCTTTTCTGGTCGAGGGAAGGAAATAAAAAATTCACGTTTTACGTAACTGTTGCATGAGATTTTGTTTCATCAGCAAACACGAGTATTATGTTAGGGATAATGTTTTGAAGTTCAAACATTGCTCGTGGCTTCTCCATTATTTAAGGTTTTAAACTATAAATCTCCAGTATATCTTTTTGAATCTAATGTGTTAACGAAAATATCTTCACTTCATCAACTATTGCTGTGTAATGATTATATTACTATAATAGCCCACACTACGTCAAAATTTTAAAAAAGTGCTACCACAGTTACAATTTTCTGAATCTACACCTGGTTGAGTAGATTTCATCCTTACTATTATTATCTTTTAAAAATCAGTTCCATGTAATTATATGTGATGTATATAATTTTCCCTACTAAGTTATTGCACTTTGTGAATAATTTTATTTACATTAGCTAAACAAGCATGGGTTGCAAAAAAGGTTAAAAAATGCATGTTATTGCTTTAGAGTACTAAGTAAGTACCTAGAACTCAAGACGCTAAAAATGGTATATTACGCGAATGTTGAGTCCATTGTACGTTTTGAAATAATTTTTTTCGGACATAGTAGCCATACCAATGGGATCTTTCTAGTGCAGAAGCGAGTGCTGAGGTGCATCCTAAAAATTTCCTCTAGAGGGACTTGTGGATGAAAATTTAAGCGAAATAAAATTTTAACTGTAGCCCCAATATATATTCAAGAAATTCTAATTTTTACATTTAAAAATATTGACAATTTTATCGGAATCCACGAGGTTACTATAACACAAGAAATAGAAATATAAATCTGTATCCATCATCTCACGGTTACCGAAAAAAATGTCCGTTACAGCTGCACTAAAATATATAAGTTACCACAAGAAATAAAAAGGTTGGCGGATATTAAAGAATATAAAAAGAGTATTTATCAATTGTTAATGCACTTAGAACCATATGCCGTTCAAGAATATTTTGAAATGTAAAATCTGTATTATGTTATATGTTTGCATCTTTGTTTTTTCTGTCTCGATGACGCTGTGACGTATATTTTACCTAACAGTGTGTAATTAATACACAGTAATCATGCACTGTTATTTTGAAATAAAGATTTATTTATTATTATTATTTATTATTACGCCAAAATTTAAAAAAGTACTGCCACCGTTACAATTTTCTGAATCTACACTTGGTTGAGTAGATTTCATCCTTACTATTATTATCTTTTAAAATTCTGTAGATACTATTGTTATCAGTTCCATGTTATTATATGTGATGTATATAGTTTTCCCTACTAAGTCATTGCACTTTGTGAATAATTTTATTTACTTTAGCAAAACAAGCGGGGGTTGCAAATGGATATGTCAATCGCCAGCCTTAGCCCCTAGTTATTTTTATTATTGTCATTATTTTAAAAACTAAATGCGATGGGAAGAAATCGTTCAGCAATATCATAATCATACTGCCGAGATTAAAGAAGCAAATACTTAGATTAGACATCAGTTGCGGTTTCCAGGTTTTAATATGTTTTTGCTTGATTGTTTTTTCGAGTTTTTTCGTTTTCGATAATATTTTTCATCCGGTCGTCTATACATCAACATTACTCGGCCCTCTTTGGCCTTTAACGTCAATGGCTACAGAAGATAAAATGAGAATATTAAACGTCTTCCTGCAATGGGTATTCACGTCAATATTCGACTATTAACGTAAACCAAATATCGCGCTTACCCGTAACATACAGGGTGTCCGACGTGTAGATCTTGAAAACATAAGCAATTTTTCTTAGTACCATATACACCAATGTCTTAAGGGAACCGAGATAAAGGGCTCTGCAACATCAAAAATATCTGAATACCGTCCTGTAGCCGCGACATCACCGACTGGTTCACTGGTTCAACTCGACGACAGAACTGGGTCGGGGTCAGTGTGTCAGGTCAGTATGCAACCTTCAACCGACGGTTACGGTCACGCGTGTAGAGGTAAACGAACCCGTATAATCGATTGCTTTTTTGTAAAACAACAAGCACTAGAGACGCGGCTAGAGAAGTGCAAGTATCAAAAACTAAAGTGTGGCAAACGCTGCGTGAAGAGGGGCTGTATCCGTTTCACGTCCAACGTGTACAAGCCCTTCAACCTGACGATTTTCCAGCAAGAGTGCGGTTTTGTGAGTGACACACGAATCTACGTTCACACGTAATGGGGTGAATAACTTTCGCAACACTCATGTTTGGTCAGTAGAAAATCCGCACGCTGTCCGTCGGGCACATTTTCAACAAACATTTTCGGTGAATGTTTGGGCTGGCACGGTGAACAGTATGCTCATTGGATCATTTATTCTCCCAAATCGATTGGACGGGATGCAATACCTAGATTTTTTACGCAACATTTTGCCTTCCTTGTTAGAAGATGTGCCATTAAGAGTAAGACAATCAATGTGGTTTCTGCGTCTGCTCGGTAGCGCATCAGCTGATTTCATTTTCTGTTGGAGCGGTATGATTTCGGGCAGAGACGTACTTAGCCCTTCTCGTCAACTGGAGAGTGAGTACTTTTTCCTTTATTTTTTTTACTTGGTCGCCCTCGTTTCACTACACATTACCTTTGTTATTTCAAGGGTAGTTGTTTCTGAAAAGGAAAACCCCAACTTTGCGGACACCCTGTATACATAATAACTTGCCAATTGTCTTTTCCATGGTGCAGTGAAATAATCTATTTGAAGTGTGATTAAATAATCTGGGTTAAAAGCGGGATGGAACCTATAGTTATTACCTTAAAATAGGACTTGTGTTTGGTCACAATTTATAGAAATGCCTAAAATTCTTGTTTATATGTTCAGGACTATTATATTGATGTTTTTTTTTTGAAAAATTTGAATGAAATCGATTGTTATGTTCCTATAACATTCACAATAGCTTGACGCTTTCTCGTTTTCTAGTATATTTTTACCAAAACAGAAGAACATACAAAAAAACTAATCATATACAAGTTCATAGGCATTAAAACGTTATCTGGAGTTTTGGAAACACCCTCCATCTCGTTTTTGAAATATTTGTGTCCAAATTTGATAAATTTGTGAAGTTATATTGATGATTTCCAGTATTCTTTAATTCTATAAAGAAAAAATTGAAAAGATAATCCTGTCAACAATTTTTAAAGTATTTAGCAAAAAAAGCTGATGAATTCGCAGGTGTCACTGTACTTGAAAAAAGACCCTGTGGTGGCCCAAACGTCGTACAGTAAAGAAAAATTAAAACATATATGTGGTTTGATTTATTCAGACAATGAAGTCCTATTCACAGTTTTTGTTGTAGTCAAATGCCTGTTATACGTGCGGCCGGCGCTTGATGGGTATATTTTACCTCTGACTGTCTCGCTAGTCTCACCTTAAAAATAGCCACTTAACAATTACGTATACTTACGATTGCATTTGGGCAGGCCTCCTCGTAACATTGCAAACTCGATACTTCCGCCGCATAGCCCCACAATGTGTAATTTCAATCTTGAGTCCCTTGATTTCCTTGGTGAACTTCACTCGTTGACTGTCAGTTAACGGTTTACGCTGCTCGTTTATATCCCTGATATCCAGCACCTCGCACATGAATTCGATCACTGGCTGAGCTTTGTAGAAAGCAGTTGCAGATACTGAAAAAAAAACACGGCCATATCGATCCATCACCTTATTGGGTTTCCAGGAAAAGACCTGGAACCTAAAACTTGACTAGTTTGAATATTAAAATATTTTTCCATCTTAATTTTGAGCAAGTTAAAGCAGAAGCTGTTGTAGGTCGTGAAAAATGTGTAACACAATTTGTCGTGTATAGATAACGATAAAATAAACGATTTTGAACATGTGGATACACTTACCATCTATATTCAGCATCATTTTCCACTGGCTTGGCCTTACAGACTGGTGAAAACCAAACCACACTTCTCTGCCACCACCTGAATAACAAAATTATCATGTCATGAAGGAAACAATGATAAGATATAAAAACGTAGTATTCATAAAAATACATACCTAAGGGATGGTAGTACCCTTCAGGACTACTAAAGAAACTCCTGCCCACTGGCGTGTAGCTCATCGAAGGTAAATGTCGCATCACAACATCTAGAGCACAAATCGCTTCATAAGGTATCTGTCGAGTCCTACCCTCTAACGCTTCTTCTAAACTATACAGTGATACTTGTGCTACCCATTTTATACTGACTCGGAACAACCTGGAAGCAAAACAGTGTCAGATTGTGTGTCGATTTATGCTAGGTCTTAAAAAACAGCATTTTTTAAGAATGGCATAATTCTATTCTCAAATTATACCTTACTTTTATTTTGTTGAGATTATTTAATTTCTTAATTAAAGTCGGACTTGTTGAAATCGGCTTACCTATCTTTGCCTTCCCCAGGTAATGTAACTTCTAATTCTTCTCTCGAGTTGCCTATGGGTAGGGGATCCCTTGTATATAAGTTATTTCTACCGTCAAACACGGGCTTTAAGTTGCCGAATATTTTGCCGTATGCCTTCACCATCGTCTCTATGATTTCCCTGTTTACCTATATAGAAAAATGTTATTTTAATATATTATCAATATACTAATACCATACAGCTAAGACAATTTCAAAACTGGATGTTAATGTTAATTGTATGTTTGTATATATATATATATATATATATATATATAAATTATTTTGCTTACTTTGCTTTTATTCTGCAAATATTTGTTTTAATTTGCTCTTAATTTTTTATTGTGTACTATAATTGGCTCAATTATGGTACAAATGAATTCACCGGGTGATTTTACTTCTGTATATGCCGCTATTTTAATATTGAAAGAAAGAGAAATTTGCACATGCATTTAAAGATATCCAGGAGCATAGAATATATTTAGGGACTATTATTTTATCTAATGCTTTTTACTGACTATATTATTTTAGTTTGCAAATTCATTTCTAGATCTCTTCTTCGTTTGATCTGGCTAATTCAAACATTCACTTTTGTAGCTCAGAAAATCATAGGTTCATTTTTTAAGAGAGCAAGCCCTGGAGATGCTTAGGCTTACCTGCCTTACTCAAAGCTAATATGCGAGTTCTGACTGGCAATGTAGCGTTCGATGTGCCAACTCTGGAGGCGCCAGGCTTGGCGGGGAGACAGGGAACATGTGATCCGCCTTCAGTTACAAGTTTGAACTCGCTCGAGGCATTTGGTTATCTGTAGCGATTTTTTCCTTTGTGTTCAAAAAATGAATGTCATCAATTTCGAGCAATGGTGCGCTATCAGGTTTTGCTTCAGACTTGGGCACAATGCATCAGAAACTCTTACTAAACAGGCCAATGCAACGGAAACTGTTACTAAACAGGCCTACGGAGTGTTTTGTCAAAAGTATAGGTTTGTCGGTGGTTTAAGGTATTTTCAGAAGGGAGACAGTCGATTGAAGATGATCCACGAAGCGGCGACAATATCGACAAAATCCGGGATTTGTGCGTTCAGATCGCCGGTTGACAGTCATAATGATTGGGGAAGAGTCAAATTTGGCTCACATCACCATTCATAAAATCAAGAACAACCGGGTGTTGCATCACGATAATGCTCCTTGTCACACAACAATACCAATAAACAAGCTTTTGGCCAGTAAAACAATTCCTGTGGCTCCTCAACCTCCTTATTCGCCTGACTTGAGTCGTTGCGAGTTTTTGTCTTCCCCAAGTTGAAAAATCACCTCAAGGGACAGTCAAAAACATTTAAATGGCTGTAACCAACCGGCTGAAGCCTATTCCAGCATGAAAGTTCCAGAACTGCTATGAGGAGTGGATGAACTGTCTCCAGTGCTCTGTGGCTTCAGAAGGAAGTTAGTTTGGTAGTGAAAATATAAAATTATATCTAAATAAAATTTTTTTAAAAATTCTCATCAAGTATCATCACTTAATTTACAGACCAGTTGTGATTCAATACATAACTCTATTTCCAAATACACTGTGTTATTCACTGTGATACTACAAGGATATACATATGTTTACATAGTTTTCTATTTTATAAAAAAAAATGATCTGAAACTCTCAAATTTAAGATACAAACTTGTGTACTAGTTTTTAATAGTACAACCATGTTAGTAGGCATTAAATAGTCGATCATTAATGCTGGTTTTCATTCAACTTTGGTTATCTCAAGTCACAAATACGACCATGATGTATGGACCTCTCTTAATGCTCTCATCAAAATTCCACTTAAAATATAAAACATGAAGCAGTCTGAGCAGGATTGAACTCACCTTCCTGGGACACTTATCAGGCTGTATATTAACATCATAATGGTGAACGAATCCCCTGGGCATAGTGATCTGGAAGTGGTTGGCCTTGAGGCCGATGGGTCTGCCCTCCCTACCGAGATTAGGGCGGCGCGGACACTGGAATACGGGTGGTTCGACGGGCGGCGAAACGGCTCCAGCCGCTCCGGGAGTGACTGCTCCGGTGGCTCCCGGTACGGCTCCAGCAGCCCCAGCGACCACGCCGGCACCACCCACGGGCGCCACTGCCGATTGGCCGGGCAGTGCCACTGCCGTCGAGGTGGGCAGGGGCGTGCCGGATGGACCCGCTGGAACATTGAAACATACAGAATGTCATCAGTATGATTGAACAAAACAAGCGCCTGACGCCGACAATGAATGGCTAGATACTGTCAACCTACAGTGACTCCATTCATCATCTCCCCCTTAAGCCAGGTGCACACTGCTGGATGGGTATCACATAGCCCTTATTGCCTTTACACTGATTTACAATGACGTACCCCTAGATCGGCAAAATCTAAATGCAGAGAACCTTTTTTATAAAAATTTAATTATTCATGTTCAGGGTTCTCTTCAAGCTGAATCAGTATCTATTAGATGAGAAATTACTAGGATTAGTTGAAATGTATGTTAGATATGAACTTAATTTTGCAATATTTACTGTGGATTTCTGGGTAAAATTATGCATCAATAATTATTCATATCTAGGCTACACGATCAATAAATATCACATCTCATGATAAATATACATCTCAGAGTACTTTTTGGGGTAAGTTGTATATGTGAATAAAAAATGGAACTTGGACAGTATGGAATGCAAAGGATTTCCGAATTTGCTCTAATTCGTCTTTATTTTTTCCTGGCTTTAGTCTGAAACAAAACTTTTCAAACATTCTCATTGTCTACAAATTTCAAAAAAATCACACAATAACATTACCACATTTTCTCTCCTAGTGTCATAATAACAATTTTAACCTGACATTGTAGCTATCAATTTTTTAAAATTATACCATTTTCGATTATTTCCCTTGAATAATATAAATGAGTTATATAATTCCTCATTCCATGAGTTTAAACTAACTATATGAAGTTAGGCATCAATGTGTAACATGTTATCATATTTGATATTCTATGAAATAAATCACATGATAATTTCAAGGGTTACTCAAAAAAAATAAATTCAGAAAAAGTTAGAAACAGTATTGGAAAAATTCGTTTCATTTTCCGTGTATCTCTGGAGATACTGGAAGCATCAAAACTTTTCAAATGTATTTTGTGTAATATGTAAATATGCAACTTTGCCACCATTCAACCAACCCAGTTTCCAGAACAAATGATGAAAAAAAAACACAAAATAGTTATTGCATTCCATCTGTAATGACAGTGATATTTCTACAGCACATTTTTAGAAAAGAAATGTAGTAAATATTTATGCAGAAATCACTTGACTAATGATATGATCTGATGAAGAGTGCAAATATATTGTCAGCAACTAAGCAGCAAGTTTGTAGTGATTGTGTTCAATAGGGAATATGCATCATTTTTTTGTATCTTCTGTCAATTATTTATGGTAATATAATTCCATAAACACATATTTCATTTATGGAAATGACTATATTTATCCACATTTAAATATTAAAAACTGCAGGGCCAATGATGTCAATATAAACCCCACGTTTTGAGTGGCTTCACAGTGGCGTCGCCATCCCCTAGATGTTATTTAATTGTTTTTTAGGTTGCTGTCGGGTTTCTCACATACCATCAGTTTGGGAGACTACAAAATTTATAGATTATATTTATTACTACAAATTACATTGACAGGTTGGCAATCAATGAGGGTGAGAACAAATGCCAGCCATTTTGTATCAGACTGACCAATCAGCAAAGGACTATCAAGGAGCATTTTCCTTTTCCAATCCTTACTTTTGAAATATTAATTCAGCCTTTTCACACAATATTTCAAGTAGCTGCAATATTAACCTAAGGGTATTCTCATTGTATGACCAGAATATTATTTCTACAAGGTTAAGCTGGTAAGAGTTATTGCTAGAAAGGGCTATATGGCAGATATCAGACAGTGTTTTGGTGATCTTGAAATTTTTACAATACCTGCTAGATACATATAATATGAATCTCTCATGCATGCCTCTAAAAATCAGAAGTCTGAAAAAGATATGATGAGAACTGTCTTCCTCAGACTCCAAAGAAGAATAAATCACCCAAAAATAAAAGCCTCTCTGAACTAAGATACAGTTCCAATACTAAACATTTTTGTTTTATGCACTTTTTATTTTGAGTATTGTATTTTAAAATTGCATTTCGTCGTCTTGGGCGTGAAGGGTTCTAACCGAAAATCGTTTTTTTCTCTAGATTAATAATTAACAGAAGAAACAAAAATCTTTTTGGCCAGTTTCATTTTAGGAATACTCCTATTGATATGGTAAAGCATACGCTTTACCATATCAATGGAAAACAAAAATTTATTACTATATTAACTATTAGGTTGTGTAGCTTAGTTCTATTCACTACAATAAATCTGGATATAGTTGATATTATAGTATGATGAAATATTTTTATTATATATTATCAGTAATAGCAGAGAACAAATTATCCTAACAATCAGTTATCGACAGAATTGGGTTTATCTTGAACTTCATCAATGGTTCTTAGTGCCTCATAAAATCCATGATAAGGAGACTTTATGGCATCAGAGTCACAAAGTTTAGGCAAACCAAGCATTTTTCGTTTTTCAATTGGCAAATTGTTAGTGTACAGTTTGGATACAGCTTGATTCGCTGAAGTTGTACTATTTCTCGTGCATTCATGTTTAACCAATATGGAACAAAAACTTGGAATCACTTGAACGTTCCTTGAAAAATATTCAGTTAAGTTGGTGTCTCCTATATTGAATCCATTTTACTTTTACCAATTTAAGGTATCGCCATCTTCAAATTTCTTTTTGTTTACAATTCCACACTTGGAAAACTCTTTAAAATTCAAGAAATGTTAGTAATTCATTTTGATAACGTTGTAAAAAGATGGCTTATGCTTTGCAGATGGAGCAACAATGTACCAACCTTTGAGGGTTTATATATTTCCTTTATTACCATGGTTCTCTTTAGCAGAGTTTTAGAAACATACAGCGAGATTTGCAGATAAAATCCTTGTCTGGTGCGCAATTTCTAACAGGAATGACTCCCTACCTTTTGTGGGAAGGATAAGGGGTGAAGCTTTGAATAGTGTATTGATAACTGCCTTTCCAAATTGCTTCAGTTTGTCCACGCACATCGTGCTAATGACCATATTATGTTTTGGTCAGACTAAGGATCATGCCATTACTCAAGAGATACCCAAAACTGGCTTCGACAACACAACATTCCTTTTGTTCCCAAAAACGTTAATGCTCCAAACTTCCTGCACTTTTGGACTTTACTGCCTAGGAAGGTTTATTATATAACAATTAAGGCTATCAATTTATCAAAATCTGAAAGAAATAGATCTGAATTCTATCCAGGACCTCATGAGAGACATTCAAAGAAAGTTGCATCTGATAGAGCAGAATGGGCCACTCAACATAATTCGGTAGTATAGTTTAGTTAAGTTTAAGTTGTAATTTATGATAACTAGTTAGTGTTTAAATAAATTATAATAATAAATGCGGTAAATATTTTGTGCCAAAACTTGTAGGACATACGTGACTTCATTCCCAAGACCACTTAGCAATTTCTGAGGAACCCTTAGTACCCACACCCTCATGCTACATGAAGTTATCAGCTTGGGCAGTTGATAGTTGAAGGTTTTCAGTTTTGGAGTATAGTATTAGTAGTATAAAAGAATTTTTGGTATTTTTGGTCTTTGTGCAATCCCATTTCTAGTGCTATTTGCACTATTCTTTGGCCTCTTGATAACATGTTTAACACAAAAACTAAGACAAGTCAGTGCAAGCGAACAAACAAACGCTGAATCTGTGGATTAGGACTATCACTTTAACTGGATATTAGATCACACTGTTTGGAAAATTATTTGACAAAAGTGCTAAGCGGCTTGCACTTATTCACCACAACAAAATGTGGCTTAATTCTTTTAGCAAATCTTGTGTTTTGGAGATTTTCAGAAGGTTCTGGGTTATGACCCTTTTAGGAATCAAAGTTTATACTTTTTAGTGTTGTTTAATAGAATTAACTGAATTTTTCCCTTTTTGTGGGTTACAACTGTTCACCACCAAATCAACGATCTGTAATGTTTCAAATGCATTTCTGTACTTTTGTTGACCTGATAAATGATGTTTGTACATCAAATACGTGGAAATAAATTTATTGATTGGAAGGGTTGGCTGATCACAAGATGCAAATATATATATATATATATACAGATAGCATTGCATTTTGATATTATAAATTTACCACCTATTGAATCTACTTTTCATTAATTAATACTTGTAATAAATATAAAATAAATGTCATTCTGCAGCAATATAGACAGTAAATTCCCTATTATAAAGAATTCGGTAAGCTAGGTTATGAAGCATGATTAAAGATAATTTTTCCATCATACACCATCATTCCTTTTTTGTATTTGTAAATTTCTTATAAATATGCTTAAATTATAAAGTTTGCTAAGAAATGTTTTCATTTTTCAACTGCAGCAGAGAAGATTTTCAAAAATCAAATTAGGGTAAAATAAAAGTAAATGTAGGGCAAAATAATGAATGCTTGGCAAAACTAAAGCTGGCAATACCTATTTTTATGTCTTTAATACTGATAATTTTAATAACAGCATTAGAATAAAAAAATACTATAAAAGAAAATCAATAAGGAATGTCTGGCCCTAGAAGTGTTCCAGGTCAATAACCTCTCAGAAGTCAACTGCAAGCAAAATGCATCCTTTAAGTGCACCTATGAAAAAATACTATTAAGACCCTTTTTATTTATCAGATAATACAAACATCATGATAAGCAACACAGTCTAAACATATATTACAAAAAATATAGAATAATGGAAAGATTGTATCGATTCAATTAAGATAGATATTAAAGGATATTACATTATTACAATAATAAGTGGTTGTAGCTGTATTAGCTATTATATTTCGAAACAACATAACAAATATAAAAATGCAATGCGAAATGATTGCACATGGCAACAGTTTATAAAAAAATCTTGGCTTGATTATGAATGCCAATTTTGTAGTTGGTGATTTAATATCTCGTTTCCGTGAAATGCTTAGACTCAATATCTCTAGTAAGAGCTACTAGTATTATTCTGCAGAATTTCTACGCAGCAATTGAAATAGCATTATAACTTCAAA